TTTCAACAATTTTAACCATTTTAACCATTTTACATTTTAACAATTTCAACATTTAATTTTAACATTTTCGTTTTAATATCCATTGCTTTGCTTTTAACATTCCAAAACTGATTGTTCTTACTCAAGAATTTCAATAACTTCGAATGTTAGTCTTTTGTATTTTTTCAACATACAAACCAAAATCACTTTGATGTTGTCACAAAAGTAACATCTGTGCGCGCATCGGTTTTCGTTCATTTAAAAACTACAAGTACAAAACATCTGGAAACTAAGCAAACATACTCAGTAAATTGATTGCTGTAATTCCCGATTTTTTTTCACTGTACCGCAACGCAAGCGGGGGGTCAATGTTCACGGTTTTCACTGTCACCTCTGTATTGTGAACTTATCATTACAGTTAGGAAATAATTCCCGGACTTTCTTTTTCCTGCAACTGTCACCACCGTGAATATATACTTCCGTGAACATGTCCATTTTTCTCAGGCCGTGAAAATTTTGCTTCCGTTAGTAGTAGTTACAATCTCGTCAAAAGTGTAAAGTAAAGCTGTCGAGATTTAAAGTGCGTGTCGTTGTATCTTTGTAAAAAAAAAGGGAGATAATTGCCAAGTGCCAGTTTTGTAAATACCTGTCGAGATTCAAACAGCTTGTCCTTGTATAATTGCAGTATGATTTATTTAGAATCTCTCATTTTTGTTTGGGGAAGGGTATGGAGTGAAATTCCTACATTTGCTCCGAAGCAAATGTTGGCCTTTCTAGTGTTTCTCATTCTTTCCCTGCCATGTCGTAAAATGTGGTGAACCCATCGCTATATTTGCTCCAAAGCAAATATTGGCCTTTCTAGTTCATCATATATTTTAATGATGAATATACCAGCCATTAGCAGTACACATACTACACATCTAAATATGATCTGATGCTCTTAGGATCTCACATAGAAGTTTTACGTTAAACTTTGTAACATCATAATGTTATGTAAACAAGCACAAAACATGCCTGTCATAGTACACCAAACATGAAATTAGACTATTGTTAGATACACAGTAAAGCATAAGGTCTACAAAAATTAAAGTTAGGTTCTTTGAAACAAGTTGTGTGAGTAGGGATTGTCTTTGTTTTTGTTTTTATTTTAGATTTTGGCCAAAGTGATACAGTTTAACAAAATATAAAACTGAATTGAATCTGCTACGCTGGGACACTGCTACATTTTTATTTTTAACATCATACAGTCTAGCCTCCTTCGCAGTCTTGTTGGGCGTGGGCGTAATTTTTTCTGTGAGCGACGCGAGTAATATGCCGCCGCGAGGGACGATTTGCTGCCGAGGGACTTTTGCCACGGAGAGAAGGTTTCCGCGCTCCAACAAGACTGCTTCCAATCGGCGACTAGAAAGGACCTCGGATTAAGCCAGCCTTTCATAGAGGCTATTAACATGTTCGTGCAGGTCCAATTCACATGTTCGCGCAGGTCCAATTCACATGTTCGCGCAAGGGTAATTCACAGATACGCATGGAGCGCTCGCCTTTTGTCAACGGTTGGTTCTATTAGCTTGCGTTATAGTGGAAGGTTCCAACAGAGAAAGGTTGAACATTGGTAATGTTACAACAAAGGCATTGCTGTGCAGTTTTTAAGCATCCCATGCAAACAAACCAAGACAAACTTTGCAGTACTATTTTTGCTGGTGAAATGTGCCATTCTTTTTATTACACAACTTGCTGCGGAGCGGTGCGTTACCCTCCTATGACCAGTGAGATCAACCCGCCACCAAACAACATGGCGGCACTTTTTTTATCTGTCCACGTCCCCCAGCAATATCGCTTAGCTTGCGGGTTCCTGTGGTAGTGATCTGTTTAAAGTTGTTTTTCGTAGCAGCAATGACTACGGGATTTTGTTGAGTGGATAGGGCTCGGTTTTCGGGAATGGTTGGCGTTCTACCAACGGGTTGATCGGCGACCGCTAGAAAGTTGCAAGTTTCGGCTCGTCGAGGAATGGGGCGTGAACACCTCCCTGCACTGGTGGCGTTTATTGCGGGAAGTTCACACATCCATGCCAATCGCTCCTAAGTGTTTTTTGATAGCCCTTTCTAGTCGCCGATTGGAAGCAGTCTTGTTGGAGCGCGGAAACCTTCTCTCCGTGGCAAAAGTCCCTCGGCAGCAAATCGTCCCTCGCGGCGGCATATTACTCGCGTCGCTCACAGAAAAAATTACGCCCACGCCCAACAAGACTGCGAAGGAGGCTAATACAGTCACCAACCAATCAGATTGCAGATTACCCTCATGAGGCTACGTGATTGGCTGTTTACCTACTAGTAATTAAAACAATGAGGCCAGAAGAACAAATACTTCTGGCTGTTTGGCAAGGATATATTTGCTTCAGGTATACAGGCAGCAGTTTTGGTAAGTTTTGATTCTTGACGCTGTCCTCATGAGCTGTTGTCAAGTTCATTGTTGATGTGTTCTTGGAGTTCATCTTCAGGTACCTCCTTGCCACAGATGAAACAAGACTGCATCACTCGCTCATTCCTGCTGGGTTCTGTTCTGCTATTTGAAGTGGATCCTGCTTCAGTACCGTTTCTTACTGCATGGTCTGGAATTACACAAAAAAATTAATCCTGCGTGCTACTGTGCATATGTTATTAATGTTGCCTGAATTGTGCAGAAAACAGAAACCAGACAGTAAAACAAGTTAGTTCCCAACATACCAATCCTCCCCTGTTTAAGTACTGGTGCAGTGCTCCTGCCTTGCCTATGCAGTGGCTTCCTTTTCAGATTTAGTCTCCTGAAAAAAAAAATTAAGATTTAATCGCCAAAGCGGGAAGACACTATATCTTTGCACGTCTTAATTTAGTACTAAGAGTCTGATTCGTAGTATGACACCAATAGAATACAGCATTTCTTATTATCTGAAACAAAAGTAGTGTAACTCTGTGAACATGATTAAGATTCACACTACACATACACATTCATAACATGCAGGTTAGTACAAGTAGAATTGAAGATGGAAAAGACAAAAACTTTCTATAACAGACCTCTGAATTCTTTGTAGAAAGTCACCATCTTCGACGTCGTTGTCAGACTTTTCTGACTCGTCAGTCAAAACCACGTCTGTTATCTTCAGCTGTTTGGTAGACCGTGGTCGCAGTGTCCTCCTTGTAGAATGTTCATCATGATCTATAGAGGTATAAGTACAGTGTATCAACAATCAGCCGAAGGCCTGGTGAGTGTTGGGTATCACTCCACCGTACAGGGAGCGAAGTGCCTTTCCCAAGCTAGGGCACAACATCAGGCATGTCACTGGGATCGAACCCGAGACCTCTTGATTCCGAGTTGAAAGGTCTATTATGCCACGCGATGTCAGTAAAGAAACCTTAAATTTTACTATATACCCTCCCTGTACACAGACTTGCCTTGCAGCCTCAGTGTTCCAGTTATGCATCATTTCCTAAAACAAAATCTACCTAATAGATTGATTAAATTGATTAAATCAAATTGTTGTGTTCTCATTATTCAGTACATGGTGCCCACGCATATGTAGCTTAAACATTTTCCATACCTTGTATTGTATGTTCCTGTGACTCTGGTATGGTGATATCCTCCTGCTCATGTTCTGATGGACCTGCCTTCTCCTCTTCTGTCTTGTCTGGGAGACTACTGACTTGGGTTGCTTCTTCTGTCTCCAAACTGTAAACAACCACAAATCAAAGATTTCAGACGGAATTGTTATGAATTTGTTATACATGTAGTTCTATTTACCATACTTGTGGATTTTCTTGCTGATACTACAAGTAAGATTTATGTCTTGTATGCATTTACCCAACACAAACATTGTACAAGAACAAAATATTGCTCACATGCGCAGAAAACAAACACTGTCATTAAACTGGAAAGTAGCTATAACTTTTGGTTAAAATAAATGCACAGACCTTTCAGCCTGGTCTGGTGTGTCCATCACCACAGGGCTGCTGGTTTCTCTGCTCTGAGATCTTGTCAGAGGCTGGAAAACAAAAATAGCTTAGATTGCTTTGGAGGTGGCAAGGTAGACTTGTAGTTAGGGTAATGTTGAATTGAAAACTAAAGATCTAGGTTCGAATCCGATAATAGGCGATATAGCCTGCATATAGGCCAGGCTTCAAAAAGGAAAAGTCATTTGAACATCATTTATATTTGATAATACATGTAGTTGTATATTCTGTATTGTAGTTTACACATTTTATGTTGTACTGTTTTACTGTATAGGAGGATAATTAAATTGTATACTATGTTGAACAACAATGGTTTGTCCTCCTTTTCTCTTCAAGCTAGGTTAAAGAAAATCAGTAAACAACTAACCTTGTGTTCAGGACTTGGTAAGTCTAGTATGTCGATGTCGAATGAGGTTGAATCTGGCATTTCAAGTTTCTCCATCTTCTCAGTGTTAGCAGCATTCTCTGCAGGTTCTATGACGTTGTCACATGTTTGTCCTTGTGACTCAACTGCAGAAGACACTGAAGACAAGATTATACAGTAATTTACAGTAAAAGACTTTCTTAATGCTGAATCAACAGTGAAAGTTCACTGAAATGTTCAGGGCTTGAAATACTTTTTCTTGCATACCTGCACTGGTGCAGGTAACCAAAGTGCAGGTTAATTTTACCTGCACCACTCACACTTTTAGAAAATATGCATCATACTAAAATCTGTTCAAAAGCCCATTGCAAATATAAACTCTCATAATCCTGTATACAAACTATCTCCCATATTAATTTGACTCTACTGTACTATTTTACTATACTACAGAATTGTTGAGACACAGAACACTGCAAAAACTTTTACCTCCTATTGCAAACTTATAAGACCTTATGAAAATAAACAAATTAAACATACCAGTATATCATGTGTCCATAAAGCAACTTACCAGTTCCATTTTGGGTGTCATTATCAAACTCAAAGGTGTCAAGATCTATAGTTCCATCTTTGTTGTCTTTGTCAAGTGTGGCCAGAGCTCCATTTTGTGTGTCTTGGTCAGCAGGCTGGGAATTGTCGGCATCGTCTTCTTGAGAAACTGCAGTCCAAGTTCCCTTCCTTCTCCTGCTTCTTGGTTTTGTGTCATCTGTGACAATATTAAAAAAAAAAAAGCCATTAACAAATTAAGCAGGGCTAGAAATCCCAACCTGAGGATTATTATAATTATTATTAGTGGGCCTGTGCATGTACATGTGTATTTCTGATGTCTCCCTGCACCTAACCTGCACTGGACTATGTAAATTGTAATTGCTTGTAGATTTTTGTTTGCTGATGACCTGAGTTGTTATCATGGCTAAATGAAGACTTCAAATGTTTGTTTTTTTAGACTCTTTGCAGTTTCCACAGAAATTTTATCAAATATTTTGAAGCAAAGCGATGCAGGTAAAATTTGTTGAAGTGCAGGTTATATCCAATGCTTCAATTCTTTATTTTTACTCTGCGAATTCTTTATGCAGAAGAAAAAGTATTTTGGGCCTTGCATACTGTAAATGAGTGTGCATTTTCTACATTCTAAAATTATTGACTATTGGAAAATGAATCCTCATCCCAACTTTAGTGCTGTACAGTTCAATACAAGGATCACACATACCCTCAGCTTCCAAAGGTTTTCCCCAGTCCAGTTTGGAGAGCTGCTGTCTCTGCGCCTGGTACAGTCTCAGTCTGTAGTTCTCCAGGCACTTGATGATGTACTTCGTCTGTTTGGCTGTGTCAACTCCTGGTCTTCTCACAAAATTACCATGGTGATAAACAACCCGTCTCTTCTTTATCCACCTGTAAAAATGATGACGATAATAATAACTAGAAAGGAAAAATTCATCTTTTTTTGTTCACATGGTAAAAGTAAACATTCTAATTTTAAAATCAATCTAATTTCAAACTAAAGTTGCCTCACCTTTCCCCAGTGCCACTTTCCATATAATCCAGAGAAATTTGTCTTCTTCTTTTCACCTTGGTTTGATGTTTCTTCACTTTTTCCTGACAGCATATGAAAGAAACATGCATGGATTAGTAATTAGTATTGACCTAGAGCATACATTTTGTTAAAGTTCCTTTTCCACACTAATGGTGCATAAGGCTGTACCCATCTCCATTTCTGTAGCCCTTGTGCCACACAGTTGTGCAATCACTACAGCAGGGGGCTAGTCCACTGGTAATGGAGTGTTTAACTCTCATACTCTTTCCCAGATGCTGAGTGCTAAGCAGAGAAAGCAGTACTAGTATGTACCATTTTAAACTCCTTGGTATGTGTCGCCCGAGGATCGAACTCATGACCTACTGTAGTACAGAATGCAAGGCAAATGCTCTACCCACTTGGATGTGCACCAGATCTAGTGCCAACTAGAGCTAAAAAATGAAATTACATCTAAACAGTATCACAAGTGACAAAAGAAAAAGTAACCTTCTCCCTGCTGCCTATAACCGGGTAACCTACATTGTATATGAGGCAAAACAGCTACCTTAGCAGGCTGAAGGTTAATGTTCTCATCTTTAACACTGATTTTTACCTCCTCTGCTTTTCCCTGCAGTTGTTTAGTTGTCCTGTGTGCCTCCACGTGTCCGTGAGAGTTGCACCTGGGGCTTAAGCCTGCGCCTGCCTTCGACGGTTGGGATGGCTTGGCAGGTGCACCATTCTCCAGCTCTGCTCGTCTGACAGCTGCACCTGTGTCCACTTTTTTCTCACGTCTGACAGGTGCACTTTCCGCTGTCTCCACAGTGGCTTTTTTCTTACACGCTGGTCCGTTTGTCTTCGGCTTGGTTTGTTTCACAGGTGCATCTGTTTCTTCCACCTGGGTTCCTCTCACAGGTGAACCTGTCTCCACCTGGGTTACTCTGGCAGGTGCATTTGAAGCTGTCTCCACCTGGGCTAGTTGCACAGGTGCAACTGTCTTCACCTGGGCTGGTTTTGCAGGTGCAACTGTCTTTACATTGGTTGCTCTCACAGTTGCACCTGCAGCTGTCTCTAACTGGGATAGTTTCACAGGTGGACCTTTGACGGGTGCACCTGTCTTCACCTGTGCTGGTTTAACAGATGTACCTGCTTTCATCTGGCCTGGGCTGAGAGGTGTACCTGGGCTGAAAGGTGTACCTGGGCTGAGAGATGCACCTGGGCTGAGAAATACATCTTCAGCTGTCTCCACCTGCGCAGCTCTGACAGGTGTACCTATCTCCACTCTGGACCGCTCCAGTATTTTCTGAAGTTCCTCCTCCTCCGCCTGTTGTTGGAAGGTGCTCTTCTCAGCCTCCTGCTTACTCAGGGCCAAGGCTTTCTGTGTGCAAAACGAAGAAGAATCTAAGAAAATATGATCTTGAGACATAACTTATAGAGACTCAGATCTAAGTCTTCGTTGACAGAGACTCTGAACGAGATGCTGTTGATGTGGTAATTTCCCATTTACAAATCCTAAATTTCAAGTCAATCCATTGATCTATAGTGACATGAATCAAAGTTGAAACGTTCTGACCTTTTGGTAAATTTCTCATACAGGAAAATGTGAATCTGGTAGGACACAATACAAACAAATTACATTGCTAAGGCTTAAGCAACCCTTTACAATAACAAACCACAGTCTTACCTGAAGCTGGGTATCAAACAGTTCTTCATCACCGATCAGTTCTGGGAATTGAAGAGAATGGTGTTAAAAGATGTAAGTACAACCTTTTAGACTATTGAATTAATGAGATAATGTTCTCAAATTTAACACTGCTTTTTACCTCTTGTTTGTTCTATGCATAAATTCCATCAAAATGAGAACATTTTGACAGTTTAGCACTTGGAAATTAGGAAAATTATCTTTTCGACAAGTGTGGTGCTCAAGGTGTGGCTCTCTCGAACACGGGACCTCCGGTTTTATGTCCTATCTGAGAGGATGTCCCTTGCCAAAGCTAGGTATACATTTCCACCTGAGTAAAGTGAGGGAAGTCGTTTAAAGTGCCTTTCCCCAGAGCACAAGATCAGTGACATGGCAGGAATCAAACCCGAGACCATTCGGTTCTTAGCCACCCAAAACAATACTTCCTTATCCAGAAGTAGTGGAACAACTAACAGAGTCCCTGCAGTATTTGCAAACTCACCATTCTGCTGATCCTGTATGTTTTTCCTGCGCTCAGCGCGGGCACTTCGAGCACTGTAGGTCCTGAGTCTACTGGACTGGCTGTCATCTTGCCATGTATGGGTATGTTTGGACATCTGTCAAAATTAAGATAATTTTCATTCCTTGCAATTTATGATGAATTACATTACAGGTCCTTAGCAGTATGGAATAGATTGCCATATGGGGTACAAACAGCAATGTTGATATGGCATATATGTAGGTACATGTAGTTTTAAAAGTTTCAATTTTGATGTAGTTTGTATTGTGTATGTCTAACTCCAGGAAGACAAGCTACATGTACCTGTCTGTTTGTACTTGTATGTTTGCTAATGGAGGAAATAAAGCACTTAAAGCACCTTGCCTTCAGAAAACAGCAATGTTTCAATGCAATGCTTTGTCATCACCTATTTCATTGACTAGTGCTGTTATGTACTACATTGCAACAAATTTGCAATCTCAAAACAATGATCCCAATCTTACAACAATGCATCCTTTTGGGAAGAATAGTAGACCCCTATTGTGGTCATGTTTTGGGGACTCAATGCACGACTTGCGCCGCGAAAGTTGCTCTTCTGTACCTGACCCCTATGCTTTGAAAAATCCTGGTGAGAACCCTGAGTGTGTTCTGTGGACGTTCTTCTTACCGTCATGTTAAACCAGTCTTCTTCTTCTTCTCCATCTTCGACATCAATGATTTCTACGTTTTCATCTGCTGAGGGAAGATTCTGTCCCCTCTTCCTCAGTTTACCGTTTCGCCCATGCTGGTCACTGTCTGGAGCTGGGGGGAAGGGGTGATGATAAGGCCACATAACAACAACTGTATTGATGTAACAACAACAGTTGTATTGATGGGTGAAGACTGTAGTTAAAAGTTAAGTTCGGGCATAAAGTATTGCGACATAGTACTTGAAAAAGCTGAACAGATTCTTCCGTGCAAAGCAGAAAGGTGAACACTGTGCTGAATTGTAGAGGTTTTATACCATATACATGTATTTTGAATTCCGAGTCGATTGGCACCTGGACCTTGTTACAACCTAGTACAGTGCGTCGCCTGCAGTTCAGTTCGAGATTCTTTAGGCTACAGAAACAGCATGGTTGCAAACTTTGTTTGTTTTGGAAATGAATGTCATGCTGCTCTCTCATGCATATCATCAGGTCAATGTGGCTTGAATACACATTGAAAGGACTTATAATAAATAATTTTTTCTTATAATTATACTCAAAGTAAGAGTCTCACCTTGTCTTTTACTCATGATTGCTCAATTCCCGTTTGGCCTGGCTGGAGTCAAATTGTTCTACTTCTCCATCAATAATCTGTAATTACATGTAACAAGTTAGACAAATGATCATTCAATTTATATCAACGCACACTGTCACACACGTACAAGCACACTGTCTCACACACACACACACACACACACACACACTGTCACACACACACACGTAGTACACACACACACACACATACACACACACACACACGTACACACACACACACACACACACACAGTCACACACACCTACTGTCACACACACACACACACATGCTGTCACACACATACACAGCACACACTCACTGTCACACACACACACATTGTCACACACATACAGTGTCACACACACACAGCACACATGCACATACACACACACACACACACACTGCCACACACACATACTGTCACACACACACACATACATACAAACAGCACACATGCACAAAATGACACATGGACACACTGGCACAGTCTCCCTCACATACAACGGTTACATACAGGCACTTCCCTGAATTAAGTCATCTGTCTTATCTGTGCTTACAACACAAGTTTCCAAAGCAGAATATATCTAAATACACGTAAAACAAGTAAATAGATGAACTAACCCAAGTTATTTTCTACCACAGTGCGGTATCACTCTCGAACTTCAAAATGGCGGGAAATGGATTGACGGGAATGTCTTCTTCATTTTGATTGGCTGAACCCACGGTGATGAGGCCACACATCGGTATCATTCCGAGGGTAGGAGAAAATTGAAACGAGAAATAACATCAATTTTGATAGATATCTGTTCCAATTACAGCTGATAGACTTGTTCGTATCAAACAAGCAGATTCGAAGACAAAACGTGTTTTTGAATAAAGAATTACCTGAACAAACGATAGCGGTCTCATTTTTTCGGATGTTTACAATCTAGTTTTGGCAGTGATACGGTTAGAACGTAGAGGTTGTCCTGCGATAGAATATAATGTGCCTGTCACAAAAATGCAATATATTAAAAATAATTTCTAATTTTGCTTATAAGTAAGGCATATTAGCTTATTTTCGAAGTAGTTTTGTATGAAGCGGTTTTTGCTTATTACATATGGAGGAAAGAAATTGTTTTGTTTCCTTTTTTGCGGGGAAGGATAAAATATACACCAGACAGCCCTGTCTTCATTAGAAATCCAAGATGGCGGAAGAACGTGGTCGGGACAGAAATCAGTCCGAATCTGCCAGTCTGGGCGGCAGCGAAGACCAGGAATCCTTCGTCAACGGGCACGATGAACCGGACTTCAGCGATCCTGAAGACTACGTGGACAACATTTCCGACGAAGGTACTTCAAGGGGGCGTATTTGCCGGTTTATAATCGTCTCCCGTCGGCGAGGTTTTCAGTCCGACAATAATTTCCATATGTTGATTATGTGACTTACATGTGGCAAGTTGGCAGCTGCGACAAAAAAAAATTTCCTCGCCTTCCTCTTAGGCAGCTCACAGGACAGCAATAAACTTTCTTAGTCCTCCTAATTTTATTTTACTGCGCTAAAAGTTAGTTTATGTGACGGGATCCGCGGGAAGGCTGTAAAAAATGCATATTGTGCAATCACCCCCACCCCACCCAAGTTATTTTGTACTAGTAAATTATTTTTGGCCACATAATTATCTGGCATACCTCCTAAGTCCTTGAAGAAGATACTTTGAAGAATCATGTAGGCATATCTTAGTTGTACTGCCGTCGATACTATCATAGGATTGATGTGTAGCTTCGCATAAATTACTGTAATCAAGGACATGCTGTAATTCACTTTGTCCTATACTATAGCTAGTGGGGCCCGGGAACATTCTTCCCCAAAAAATTGGAATCATGACCCTCTCTAACGCTACTTCCTGCACATTCGTTTTGTGGGTTTCATAAGCTTTCATAATTTTAAACACTGTAAACTGATCACTTACGCTGAAATCTAAAAAAAAAAGATGAGATAAAAAAATATGAATCAAACTTGAAAGAAGAGAAAGCCATTTTCTCCAGACTGAAACTGGAAACACAACATTATTTTTTCCAAGCCTAACAGAAAAAAATGTTAATGTACTTCTAAATCAATACTTGATTTTGTCATATTTCTGACAGAGCTCCTTGGAGACCTTCTGAAACAGAAACCGAAGGAAGCGGACGGCATCGACTCGGTGATCGTGGTGGACAACGTGCCGCAGGTCGGGCCGGAGCGGCTGGAGAAACTCCAGAACGTCATCAGGAAAATCTTCTCCAAGTTTGGCAAGATCGTGAGCGAGTACTTCCCCGAGGGAGACAATGGCAAGACTAAGGGGTGAGTTTTCTTTTTGATTAACTTTCCTTCCCTTGTCGTTGAAGAGATTCATTTGTCACGTATAGATACGAACAAGATGGACTGATAGCCATCGAAAATTTGGAGGTTAGTATCCTTATCCTTCTAAGTTGTCACTGATGAAAGAATTCACTAGGTAACTCCTTGCCTTGTGTTTTACATACGGTTGATGCGTGTTTTAACTTTTTTATTGCATGAATGCAAAAGTTCTGTCAATCTTGTGTAACTGAAAGTGGTGTAAAAGTATTGGAATACACGGTTCAAATGTGCAAAATCTGTGTTAGCCACACGTACTAGTTAGCTGCAATTGTACATTGTAAAGGGGTGACTTTTCTTGTTACAGAAAGATTTAAATTAACTTCTCTTCCCATGAGATTTGCATGCAGTTTATAGAGATCTGTTAACAATTTCTATGATAGTCCTTTTGTCTATTCATGTCTGTTACTGTTAATATATCTTTTTACCAATAAGTGTTATGGAGATCTTAAGCTGAAAAGTTTGGAATAGCACAAAGGAACAATTTCCATGTTTTGCACTTTACTAACATATGTTGATTGTTGTGTGTATATTTCCAGGTACATCTTCCTGGAGTACTCATCCCCAGCTAACGCCCTGGAAGCCGTGCGGAACTGTAACGGCTACAAACTGGACAAACAGCACACCTTCGCTGTCAACCTCTTCTCCGACTTCGACAAGTAAGCTGCAGTTTTTGGTGTTTAATGTGTACCAAATACAGTAGCATGTATTAACAAACATGTAAGTCTGTGTTGTTACCCTAGTATTATGTTATTGTGTGACAGAAGGATAGCAGAAATGTCAAGCTAAATTGTGGATCCTGATAAAGTCAAGTCAAGTCTTCATAGATATGTCTGTACAGTTGATCCCATTTTTTAAGTGTACTTTCTCTAAAACTGCCTTGAAGTATCATTGAAACAGCAGAGAACTTGGTAAAGTCAAAAATGGTGCTGCTACGAACAACATTTTTTAAACCCTTTCAATATTTTGAAGAACTGAAAAGTAAAGAAACTGTCAAGTGCAGGTAAAACTTGTCTGTTGCGGGTGATTTTGAATGTTGCTTGCACCAGTGCAGGTATGCTGAAAAAAAGAATTTCAAACCCTGCTAGAAGAAACTGATTAACGTCTGTTTGAACTTTAGGTATTCTGGAATCCCAGAGGAATGGGAGGCACCAGAACAACAACCCTACAAAGACCCGGTAAGTCAACAATGTCACTGTCAGCATTAAATAGGCCCCAAACAAGCTACGTGAAAAGTCTCCTTATATTTAGTACCATCAATAAATAGCTGGAACCAGCACAGTTTTGACTCACAGATATCAGTAATACTATGGTGATAAGACTGATGCAACTTACTACATTAAAAGAAGGACCAGAAAATTGCCTTTGAAAATTCAGTTTTGCAACTCTAAAATTGCATTGGATGTCTTATAAACATACATCTTTATTTTGATTGTGCTATTCCAGGGAAACCTGTGGTACTGGCTGGAGGATGCTGAGTGTAATGACCAGTACAGTGTGATCTATGATGGCGGGGAGAGGACCGCCATCTTTACCAACACGTACGGCGGCACCGAGCAGTCACTGGTCGAGGAACGTGCCGTAAGTGGTCACGTTACTCTATTTTACTCACACTATTTCACTTTTACCCCTGGGTAAAGAGATATCCTTCCATAGGAAAGTACTCCGTGAATACTTTCATCAGGTTGGTAAGACACTGAGTGAAGAGACTCTTTTTACACAACCAAGTCTTTTAATTTTTATTCAGCCGACGTTTCGGTGACCATCTGTCACCTTCCTCAGGGATATTTTCAATAGAAAAGTACTGTTTTCGGTTGTGTTTGTGTGTTTACAGCTATAAGTTATATAACCCACATTGTCTCATAAGGGTGGTTTGTAATTCAAACAATGCCTTTTAATTAAGCTTTTTTTCAATCCACTGGATTGATAGATGGAAAAACTGTAACAACTAGGGAGACAATAACTTTTTTCATTAATATCAACCATTGGGGCCAAAATATGAGCATTTTAGAGAGATGATTAAATGGGAAGCAAAAGCACAATCATAATGATGCAAGGCATTGTACATGTGTAAATTAAAAGATGTCTATAGACGAAAATACTTTTTTTGTATTATGTGCACTAAGTTTAACTTTGAAGTTTTTATTATATAGTGTCTAAAGTATACTGTTCTCCACTTGTTCCATAACAGAGGTGGACTGAGACCTATGTACGCTGGTCGCCGAAGGGCACGTACTTGGCGACGTTTCACCAGCGCGGAATCGCTCTGTGGGGAGGCGAGAAGTTCCGCCAGATCCAACGGTTCAGTCACCAGGGAGTTCAACTGATCGACTTCTCTCCTTGTGAGAGGTAGGACAGACATGTTTGCATTTTCTGACATCTGTAATGCTTTGTTACAATATGTAGAGACATTTAAAATGGCCAAGTGACTGTGTTTGTCAACACACTCTAAATATGACTCAGTCCACAAATTTGTATAGTTCAGTACAGATGAACCTCTACCTGAGACCTTTTCTTTAAACAGGTATATGGTGACTTTTAGCCCTCCACTCTACTGGATGAACCCATGAAGTTTTGTTGGAATAGGTACTTGGTGACCTTGCGGCCCCTGACTGAAGTTTTGATTGGCAGAATAAACCTTAACCTATGAACTTTTGTTTGAATAGTACATTTCCCCCCTGATGGGCTTCAATGAACCTTGAGCTGTGACCCCATGACAGGTGCATGGTGACGTTTAGCCCCCTCATTGACAGTAAGGATGAACCATGACTTGTGACCTTTTGTTTGAACAGGTACATGGTGACCTTTAGCCCCCTGATTGACAGTAAGGATTAACCATAACCTATGACCTTTTGTTTGACAGGCACATGGTGACATTAAGCCCCCTGATTGACAGTAAGGATGAACCATAACCTTTGACCTTTTATTTGACAGGTACATGGTGACCTTTAGCCCCCTGATTGACAGTAAGGATGAGCCCCAGGCCATCATTATCTGGGACATCAACACAGGAGTGAAGAAGAGAGGCTTCCACTGTGAGAACGCTGCTCAATGGCCCATCTTCAAGTAAGTCCTGAGGAAGACGTGCTGTAGATTCAGTTATTTTTGCAAGGATTTGATTGTAGAGGATTAAGAAATAGGTCTTTCGTGGTGTTCAGATTTTATGGCTAAAACAATTGTGTAGCACAGAAGTCATACTCAACTCATGTTCACAGCGAAACTACTGTGAACAGTTCAAAATTAACAGTACATTCAGGGTTTTATTGAATTTTATTTGGTTGTGGTTTTGACTTATTTTTATTTTGTAACACCACAGGTGGAGTCATGATGGCAAATACTTTGCCAGGATGGGACAGGACAGTCTCAGTGTGTATGAAACACCAGTAAGTATTTGTCAGAAAACTTGTTTCACTTATAACTATCTAATAACATTTTAAATCTGGTCAATTGTCTCAACATCTGCCAATATCATAACTGTTATGGTCCTTTATGGTATATTTATATATATATTTTTTTTTTTTTTGCTTTATGTCTTGCAAAATAGATGATTGTAATGATAGCGTCTTTCTAAAATATAATATTTCTTCTTATTTCAGTCATTTGGTCTCTTGGAAAAGAAGAGTAGCAAGATTCCTAATATAAGGTAAGGAAGACTACATTGTATATGGTGGTGTCAACTGTCAATGTTCACCAAAAAACACAGACTCAAACTCAATGCATTATACATGTAAGATGCAGCTTTTCTTGGGTGATGTACATGTATTTAACTTACTCTACCAGATGAAAAGTATTGTTTTAGTTTTCCCTTTAGAAATATACTAGTAAGTAGCATTCATGCACTAAACACTGCAATTTGACACTCCCACAGTCCCAGGCTGTAGGGGATATGATGTAGTTTTAACTGTCCAGTACACGACAAGGGCCCAAGAAGAATTGTACACACTTGATTCTACGTGATTCTATTCTTGGTATCAAACAATAACCCTGGCATACTGGCCTGTGTTCTGTACTGGTAGTGGTGTTACAGCATAAAGCTTCGAATGTAGGCTGAAGCACCACAGTCATTACTTGATACAAACAACCAGTGGGCCTGGCATACAATCAGCAGGGGTTTCCCCAAGAATTCTTAGGGGAGAGGTGCTCCCTAATTAGTTGATGAAAAATCAGTGAATTTTCATGAAAATACTATTGAGTAAGAGAAAACCCCAAATTTGAACATATTGGGAGATGTGCTAGGATTTTGGGGAGAGGGGGAGCACCCTTGTTTTATTGTTTGGGGAGAGTTACAGTTTGTTAACAAACATCTCTTACTACCCTGCATCTTGTAGAGAGTTTTTCTGGTCTCCGTCTGACAACATCATCGCATACTGGACCCCAGAGAAGGACAACATCCCGGCCCGCGTCACGCTTCTGGAGATCCCGTCCCGTCAGGAGATCCGAACCAAGAACCTCTTCAGCGTCGCCGACTGTAAGATCTACTGGCAAAAGCAGGGAGACTACCTGTGTGTCAAGGTGGACCGATACACCAAAAGCAAAAAGGTACTAATTTTTTCTTTACTTTTGGGTACAGAAGTATTGTTTTGGGTGGCTGAGCGGTAGGTTTGTGTGTATATGTCTGTTCTACTGGCAGAAGCGGGTAGACTACCTGTGTGTCAAGGTTGACCAGTACACCAAAAGCAAAAAGGTATTATCTGTTGTTTTTTTTTTTACTTCTGGGTACAGAAGTATTGTTTTGGGTGGCTGAGTAGTAGGTTTGTGTGAATGTGTCTGTTCTACTGGCAGAAGCAGGGAGACTACCTGTGTGTCAAGGTGGACCTATGTACCAAAAGCAAAAAGTTAACTCGATGAAGCTTATATATCCAGGTATATGTAATGAGAATCTGATACGCAAGGAAATTGTTTCTCAAGCAACTGGATGGATCTTGAAAATGACAGACGTTTCAAGTAGCATCCACTATTTTCCGTCAGTAACTGACAGAATCTCTAGCTAGTTTTGCAAAAACTATGTATAAAGGTAACTTTTAATTTCTTCTGGGTGCAGAAGTATTCACAGCCTTCTACAGATATGTCATGATTGTCAAAAAGTCAACTGACCTGTAAATTTTTTCTTTGTCATTTTTTGTTCTTCCAGGGCTTGTTCTATAACTTGGAGTTGTTTAGGATGAGAGAGAAACAAATTCCTGTGGATGTTGTGGAAGTAAAGGGTGAGTCATTTCTTTAGATATTGCAGAAATAACTCTTTACTGACTTAACTTGCAGAAATCTGTCTATTATTGATATTTACTGACATTTCTTCCCTTAAGCTTTTTAAAGCTACATGAGGAGTCCTTTTTGGCACCACAAATAAATAGCTAGAATTGTGTTTTCCATCAGTGACATCACATTTTCGCTTCACAGATATCAGTACGCCACATCTGTATGGGATAGGGTTGATTCAACTTTTAAAAAAAGAACAACGGAAAATCATGTTTGAAAATTCACTTTTACTGTGTTATAATCACTTTGGGTAATCACAACAAGTTAAAAGACCGCAGATGCCATCTTTTCCCTCTTACTGTGAAACTGAGTTGCTACAATAAAAACCAACTTAAACAGGGACAGGGGGCGTCACTACCTGAAACCTGTATATGACTTGTCTCTTGTCACATGATTATCACATCAAGTCACGTGACAAGAGAACTCCAAGATGAGATCTGAATCAGGTTGATGAAGAGACAGAGTACGTCTCGAAAGCTCCCCAGCACAGCTGAACTTTTGTTGTGTGTTTAGTATAAATATTTCGTCAAAAATAAAAACTAACTTAATTCCCAAATGTTTTCCTTACAGAGGTGGTGAATGCCTTTGCCTGGGAGCCTAATGGAGAGAAGTTTGTAGTCCTCCATGGAGAGTCTCCCCGCATCAGTGCCAGCATCTACAAGATGTCCAACAAGGTCGAGCTGCTCAGTAAGTGTTTGAAAAAATCATTTCCATTTTTCACGCAGATACATACATTGACCCAGTGTTGACATCACACTTCAAAGAAGCCACGTGACAAGCTTCACTGGGTCAGTCTACTGAGGAAGACCAGAGTGACTGGTCAAAAGCCCTAGATGAGAGAATTTTTTGTGTTGGACCAAAAGTTTTAACTTTAAACATGTAACTACCAACACAGATGAACTTTCATGATAGATACATGCATTGTACACATCAACTATATACTCATCAAGAAAACACACACACATAGTATACATAAACTCTCACATGCACACACACATAAAGCACTGAGATCTCTCACAGACAAAGATGCACACACACAAACACACACAAGCAATCATAAACATGTTCTGCCTAACTGTCTTGCATTCCATTACGCACTTGTTGCTTCAAATGTAAACTCAAACCACTGCTAATTCTTCCTCACCCCTCCCACACAGTCCACAATGAAATGTAAAATGTCAAAAAAATCAATTTTCAGTAATATGAATCGTTTCTGTTTCAGAATGTATGGAGAAGAAGCAGGCCAATCACCTGTTCTGGAGCCCCCAGGGGCAGTTTGTGGTCCTGGCAGGACTCCGCAGGTAAACTGGACTTTTGCCAACTTAAGTTGAAGAAATTGTAGGTTTGTTTTCATTCGTAATTTGCAGCAGAAAAAAAAAGAATTTTTGAACATGATACTCACTTTATGTTGAGTATCATGTTCGTTTTGTTCCATGGTTGCGTGTTGAAAACAGTACCATATGAATTAAAACCAAGCAAATGTCAGGATGGAAAGACAGGTTGATTGAAATAAAAGCAATTCTTCACCGCACGTAACTACTAATAACCTATCACAAAATATCTCTCTCAGTTAGTAGGAGCTCACAATGCATTAGAATCAAATCAGGGTGTTTCTCAGTCCAGTCTTACTAGAATTTGTCCACTTTACGTCACCAAGGTGACCAGTTATTTGACATCATCATTACTTAATTAACTTAAATTTGTTAATTTTATCATTTGCAGCATGAACGGTGCCCTGGAGTTTATTGATACCAACGACATGACGGTGATGAACGTGGCGGAACACTTCATGGCGACCGACGTGGAGTGGGACCCGACCGGGCGCTACGTCATCACGGCCGTGTCCTGGTGGGGACACAAGGTACGGTCTGGGGACATTGGGTACTATGCCTGAGTTGTGTTCTAATGTGTGTGTAATGCTTTGGTCCTATATGGTACTGTTCAGCCATAGCCAAAGCTGTAGGGCTGGTAATATCTAATATGATTTTACCATTGTACGATCTTTCCTGTTCACATGAGGCTCGGAGGCACACAGACTCCCCATTGGGTGAGCGTACGCCTGCCCTCCAGGTAACATTCGAAAACTGTGTGTGAAAATTGCGTTCGCAAATTGGGACCGTTTCTTACATAAGGGAAAAATCGTATGTACGCAATTTTGCCTGTGTGTAAACCGGGTCATAATGTAACCCTACACCACAGGGTGACTGCTACAGCACCATAGTGACAGACGTTTATTCAGATCATTGATCGTCCTCATTTGGTGAAGAAGAAGGAAAAACAGCGAAAACAACAGAATTTTTTTCTTCTGCAAAGTAAGCATCATCAGATGGTTTTAACTTCAACCTGTGTGTCTATCAGAACACATTGACAAATGTGTCTAACCTATAAATTCCTCCCTGTGTGCACGTGCAGGTGGACAACGCCTTCTGGCTGTGGTCGTTCCAAGGACGGCTGCTACACAAGCAGAACCTGGACCGCTTCTGCCAGCTGCTGTGGCGTCCACGGCCCCCCTCCCCCCTCACCGCATCGCAGATCAAGAAGATCAAGAAGAACCTGAAGCAGTACCAGAAGCAGTTTGAGATCAAGGACAAGATGAGGATGTCCAAGGCCTCCAAGGTTTGGCTCCTGTTCTGAAGTTGTAAAAGTTATTCTATTTATGAAGCTTTTCCACATTTGCTTAATGATTGACATATCAGGTGACTATCAGCTCTTCAAGATGTAAAATCTGAGATGAGAGTGTAAGTTTAGAACAACGAAAACTGGGAAGGACCCCTGCTCTTTTCAACAAGTGTGGGGGATCTTTACGTGCTCAAGGTGCTCAAGGTGAAGTAGAAAAGAACTACACTGTATTGGGCATTAACAATTAAAACATGATAGTTCGCTTGTGATGAAATGGATTGATGTTGGACCAATGTGCATGCAGACAGCTGTATTATATTAATCTTGTTGCCATGCTTGTTGTTTTGATTTTTATAGGAGCTGGTTGAGAAGCGCCATGCTCTTATGCAGGACTTTGAGAAGTACCGTAAGAAGAAGCGAGAGCTGGTCCGCCAGCAGAAGGAGCAGCGGCTGGGACTCCGAGGAGGTGAGTCTGACTTTCTTGTGTCTTCCAGTAAGATTTTGAAAGGTTAAGTTATATACCGGTACAATAGCTCAATTGGTAGAGTGCTCGCTTTGTAACCGGGAGGTCGTGAGTTCAAACCCCGGCCGGGTCATACCAAAGACTTTAAAAATGGTACACACTTCTTTCTCTGCTTAGTACATATGAGAAAGGGTGTGGGAAGGTCAAACACACAGCACTACCAGCAGACTAGCCCCCTGCTGTAGTGCATTGCACAACTGTGTGTCGCCCAAGGGCTCCAGAAATGGATATGGGCACCACCCTACGCTCTGCATAAGGGCACGGGAGACCTTTCCTTTCCTAAGTTATACAGAATTATTGACCCTCATAACTTTTTATTTGTTACCTCCATGACAAATGGAGGTATTGTTTTGGTGTGTCTGTCTGTGTTTCCACACATTTGAGGTCAGCATAACTTCAGAACACCTTTATGGATTGTGATGATATTTGGTGTGTTGGTAAGTCGTAGGAAGGCAAAGGTCAGGTCAAATATGGGCCTCCTGCTGACTGACCTTGGTACTGCAGCAGAACATGTAATGTGTGTCTTTGGTGTGCACGTTATCAGCATACTCACTGCCTAGTGCTGACCTTGTATTGTACATGTTATGTCACAATTTTGAATGAATAGAAAATAGAAAAATTAAAAACCTCTGTACATTACAGGAGTGGACACAGATCGTATGGACAGCGAATCAGACGTGGAAGACGAAAAGATCGAGTTCTTCGTCAAAGAAGAAACCATCGTCCTCAGCAAATAGTCGCAGAAATCGTCTTTACAGATAAAATGCGTCGATCACATTTTTAGCAGGATATTTGAAGACAATTATGGCTTGTGTAGGATTAGGCTGTGAAAGTATTATGACTTGCTATAAATCAAGTAATAGGTAATCATAATAAATTCTCATGTATAATGTCTGGTAGATTTGGGACATACATTTGTTATTCATGCATTTTTCTTGTAGTTAATAGTATATAACAGTACTTTGGACTGCAGCATCATGAATTTATATGTGTGCTAAGTTGTTTTCCATAGCAAAAGTTAAGTTGTAAAGAGGTAACATCTACTAATATGATTCTGCCAAGTTACATATGTCTGCTACCCTGAAAAAATGAGTTTTCAATCCCATTATAATAAACTCCTGCATATCTGCACTAGCTATCGCTAGAGGATAGCTGTTGTTTTGGGGTGAGGGGCTCTTCTGTAAATCATTAAAGTACATAAAGGAAATAAGAATATTTCAGCCACTAACAGTAGTACAAAATTAAGAATAAAAAAAAAAATTATAGTAACATACATAATTAGTACCAGTTCCATATCTGCCAGATACATTATATATACATACATAGTGTATTCAAAAGTGCCTATTGTTTCAACATATTATCTTCACAATAAAATTGTCCTATACGATTTTTGCTGGAGTTTGGTTCAGCTGAACACCATCCACTGACAGGTAAACCCGTCTTTGGTACTGAACACCATCCACACACTGGTAAACACACCTGTCCTTGGTGCTGAACACCATCCACACACAGGCAAACACACCTGTCCTTGGTGCTGAACACCATCCACACACAGAAACACACCTGTCCTTGGTGCTGAACACCATCCACACACAGGCAACATGCCTGTGCTGAAGACTAATATCCACATACAGGTGAACATGCCTGTCCTTTGTGCTGAACACCATCCACACACAGTTAAATACACCTGTCCTTGGTGCTGAACACCATCCATACATGTAAACATGCCTGTCCCTGGTGCTGAACACCATCCACACACTGGTTAACACACCTGTCCTTGGTGCTGAACACCATCTACACACTGGTAAACACACCTGTCCCTTGTACTGAACACCATCCACACACAGTTAAATACACCTGTCCTTAGTGCTGAACACCATCCGGATATCCACACTCAACTGTCCTTCGTGCTGAACACCATCCACACACAAGCAAACACACCTGTCCTTCGTGCTGAACACCATCCACACAGAACAAACCTATCCTTGGTGCTGGACACCATCCACACAGGTAAACACACCTGTCCTTGGTGTTGAACACCATCCGTATATCCACACTGAAGTTAACCCACCTGTCCTTGGTGCTGAACACTATCCGCACACAGAAACACACCTGTCCTTGGTGCTGAACACCATCCACAAGAAATTAACAGAACTTTCGATGGTGTTTAACATCACCCACGTACAGGTTACCACACAGTCACACACCATTTAAAGTTAAATACTATCCCCACACAAACAAACATACATAAATACAGAGGCTGAAATATTTAAAAAATCAGGCCTATTCAGAACTGTTTACAACAGGACTGTATTCACAGTACGACATGGCTGTTTCCTTGTTTTGTGAAGTCAGTGTAATCCATTGTACACCATGGTCTAAGCACAATGGTTCAGTACAACATTAATGTTACCCTATAACTAGTACAATATAAGATATCTTCACATCTGTAAGGACTTTTCTTAGATCTTTGCATTGTACACATACAGGCTACATTTTCTTTGAGTGCACAGAGTGGTCCCTACTTCAACTTGCTACTCCACACAATTAATGTATTTCAAAACTACCTATTAGTTCTAGATATAGATGGCACACATTGCGGATTTGTAATGCTCCATGTTTTACCATTGACATAAAACAAAGAACACTGCACAACTATTGTCTTCAGGAAGATTTAAATGATAATTGAATTTTAGACTGTCTTTGCCAGTTTACATTCATGTTTTCAAATTGGTACTAGTAGTTTGAAGTCAATTTTAGCATAGATTTTGTAATTTCCATATTATTGGGGGAAATTGCAATAACATGCATCATATTCACTGAGAAGTAAAAAAATTGCACTGGACTGAAAATTTTTATTTAGAAAAGGCCATTATACTAAATGCTAAGTAACCAACCTATTGCCCAACACAATGCATACAATTAACCAATTACATGCCATGATACAAATCAATATCTGACATGATGCAAACTAACTAATCAATCTGACCAATCACCTCCCATGATACAAATCAATCAACCAATGAAATGGTATGTTGCAATGCAGAGTAACCTGTCAGTCAACACTATCTATAGTGTTCCCATTTGATGAGAAATACAGGTATCAAAGAAGAAAAGAAAATATATGGAAGGAACTTGGGAGAAAAATTTGGATCAGAAGTCTTTTAAGTTTGATTTCAATTTTCACCACCGTCCCAAAAATAATTGGTTGTGTGTTTTTTGACAGAAGGCCTGGGTTGTATGTAGACAGGTGAAAATAAATGAGAAATTTGTCTTTTTATCTTGATTCTGTTGTACTTGTTCCATCACACTAATAACAGTAATTGTGTTTGCATCTCCAGCTTTTCACTGTAATTCTGAGCTACTCCAACAGGAGGCGTTGTTGTCACTCTCAGAAGTCTGGCTTTGGGGTCGTGCAGACATGGTCCTTCAGTAGTGACAGGATGACAGCCTGAAAAATAACCACAAAAATTACTTCTACTCCCTGTTTTATCTACTAGTATCCTCAATGGGGTCGTGTGGCGTAATGGCAGAGTGCTCGACTCGGAACCAAGAGGTCCCGGGTTTGAGTCCTGACATACCACCGATCTTGTGCCCTTGGGAAATGCACTTTACACAACTTTACCCACTTAACTCAAGTGAAAATGAGTGTTGTCCTGTCTGAGTGTTGTCCTGTCCTGTGTGGGACACAACACCAACAAATGGTGTCCTGTGCCTGTGTCCCATGTGTATTGTACTGTTACAATATCAGTAAATCAAACATAAAAGCTCACCATCACAGTCCACTTCCTGTTCTCTGCCTCGGGCCAGACCAGAGACCGGTCGCTGTAGAACACAGCATCATCTACCTCCTCCTGCTTTCTGGGCAGACAGTGCAGGAACACCCAGTCCTTAGCAGCTACCTCTCCTAACTGGAAGCGAAGGAAAATGTGTACAGGATGTGCAAAATGACTAACAAACTGGTGGGCTTACCAAGTACTAAGTAACTGATACCAGCCCAGAAAAGAACAAAAAATAGTCCTGCAATCAAATGTGCAGAGAATGAGTGTAACAAGTCCTTTGGGGTAATAAAGCTGGCTGCCACCGCGCCGCGTGCCTGTGAAGCTGGAGTGTTACGCGGAAGGGCAGATATACCAGCTATACCGATATAGATCTGATGCAGAAAAAGGAAGTGAAAACACTGTCACAGAGGCTTAAAATAAGTGTCTCAAGAGGAAATTTTCAGAATGCTTGGAAGTATGTAAGAATGCCATGATGCCTGTACCTTGTGAGTGACCTGGTATCCTTGGAAAGCCTTAAGTCTCTCCTGTTTCTCCTCCTCCTGCCCCATACTGATCCACGTGTCCGTCACCAGGACGTTAGCACCTTCACACGCGTCCCGCGGGTCGGTAGTGTGGTACATCTGCGTCCCGTACTGCAGGGAGTTTAAACTTATGTTGTAAGAAATTCTAAATGTTCATTAATTTAAAATGTTGTTGTTTTTTTTTTGCAAATAGTTAAAAAAAAAAAAGAAGCGGGGAAATCTGAGAACCCATAAACTAAATTGGCGTGGCCTAATGTCAAGATGCCGTACCTGTTTGGCCAGCTCCTCTGCATCTTTTGTCACATTTGGGTACGTCTCATAACCCTGTGTAGGTACATTAAGGAACATAGTTAGTCATTGTGTAATTGTACATGATTTAGAAGCTCAATGCATGACGGTGCTATGGTCCTACAGCAGAAAAGGTCACAAGCCAGAAATTACATCACTTGGCCCTAAAAATGTCTGAAAGTTTCATTCAGACATCATTCTGGCTCATTCCAATCTCTCTAGTGCACTAGTGAGAAAGGGTTGGGTAACGTACATTGTAAGAGCTGAGAAAAAGGGAAAAGGTGTAGGGGGAGACCCAGAGTCACCTACTAACTAAAGACAATCTGCGAAGTGACACTGACCTGCATGATACCAACAAATTGCAAAGGGCCATGGAGGCCCAAACACTATGGACTGAGGAGACTTTCTGGATTGGTTTGAGCAGTAATAAGTACGTAACTAAGGTGCAGAGAAGACAATACCTTTGGAGTGGCGATTTTCAGGTTGACCCCAAGTTTGGGAGCCCCCATCATGAAGGAGTGGATAATGTTGTTACCGTCTCCGACCCAGGCAACAGTCAGGCCTCTCAGGCTGCCAAAATGGTCCTAATATACAAATATTGTCTTTAGTTAAACCATGATGTATTAGAAAAACTCTGTAAATTCGTATACAAATATCTAAAGAAGAGAAAAGAAACATGTACAGCTTAGATATAGATAGAACATAGCACAGTTTGCCTAATCCTTATTTGTAACTTAAGAGTGCATTTAGCCCCACTGGGGCATGAATATGCAATAAACTTCATTGTCATTGTCAATATTAGATAGATCACAATGTCAGGCTGTATAAACATACATTGTGCTGTAAATCACTTTATATTTGCAGTAGCAACATTTCGTGGTCTGAGAAAAATGGACATGTTTGCACTGGTCACAGGCAAGACATGATTAAGGCTTATCCTGAAAACCAAATTCACTAGTCAGAAAAACATACAAAATTCCATCTACTATATGATGATTCTTTACAGACTTGACAAAAGTACAGAGACTTTCGTATGGTCTACTACAGCTAAGATCGAACAAAGCTAATAATGTACAGAATATATGTCAGTGGCTGCAATAGAGGTTTACCTTTTCTCTGACATGCAGTCTCTTAGAAGATTATGTGCTACATGCTGTATATAGCTAACACTTCTGAGAATAGTTTCATCAGGTTGGTAAAGTATAGGATACAGGAAGTTATCTTTTACACAACCACATTTTGTCACCTAAAGTGCTCACGTTTCGGTGTCTATCAGACACCTTTCTCAGAGCTTCTGACTGAAGCTTCCTCAGCCACGGGATTGGAATTGTGTTCTTGCTGCAAAAGTGCTACCTACATGAACATTGGCTACATATAGCAGCAAGAAGCAGAACTCCAGTCAGAAGCTCTGAGGAATGTGTCTGATAGACACCGAAACATCAGCACTTTAGGTGAGAAAATTTGGTTGTGTAAAAGAAAACTTCCTGTATCCTATAGCTGACACTGTTTAGTCTGACCTGTAGTGTTTGCATGTCTGCTAGGATCTGTAGTGGATGGTAGAGTTCAGACAGACCGTTAACAATAGGGACGCTTCCCTCTGCAGCCAAGGACTCCAGATCCTCATGTCCATACACTCTGGCCAGGATCAGGTCCACAAAACCTGACAAAACCCTGAAAATATCACAGGTAAAATTACTACTAATGTTACTACTATGTCATCCATGAATATTTCCATCTGGTTGGTTAGTCACTGAATAAAGAGACTCTTTTTACACAACCAAGTGTTATGTTCCATTTAGTTCATACCCTGGACTTGACAATACACACACTCACTTTCAATGTGAAACATACAATTCCAATGTCTGAATCTTAGTTTTGGAAAGCCACGCTTGCGGTGCATGCAAAACGTGTTTGAATTGTGCTAAATGGAACTTCTGTGAGAACTGTTAGAACCCCATGTGATACGGGTAGATATCGCATGGGTCGGGATACCCATATCAAAAATTATCTTTTACGCGGCTATGACAAGTTTTAAATAATGGTACTTCACATGGCAGTCCCTACATGTAGACATGCACACAAAAGATTGTTGCATGCATACTAGTAGTACCCACCAAAATTCACACACCACACAAACCCTTACTTGGCCGAGTCTTTAATGGTTTCGTTAACGCCCAGATGGATGTCATCGGGAGACAGGAAACATGGCTGACCACCCAGCAGACCCACACCTGTGGACACAACATGGCAATATTCAACAAGTGTGAATAGAATATTGCAATTGTGGTAAATAAGCATGCTGGCAGAACATAGTATGCCTGCCATGCCATTGTACTGACTAGATCAGAGCACTACGAACTCATGTAACTGATCAGGGCATTATGCACTGGAAAGGTATGTAAGTGAGAACTTCATGTTACTTGTGTCATTTAGCCTCTGTACACTTGAAGAAGCCACACAGGCGAAACCGGTCGTGTGACAGGTTGAATAAAAGTTCTAAACAGGAACTATGCGGCCCCAGATGTCTTACTGAGTGTTGACTGCGTGTGCAAGATGTCAGTTAGCTGAGGAATGAATCCTCTCGAATTCACATAGTATGCCTGCCATACCGAAGCGTAGGTGCCAAAATATTACATGACTACGAGTGTGTTTAAAAGCTAAGAGCAGGGAAACACAGCTGTCAGCTATGCCTGGTCATTACATGTACAGGTCAATGAGCAATTATGTCAAGCTGCTAATAAGTACTGTAGTAGTCCCCCAGTAGTCATTAAGGGTCACTTGGGCGGTCCTGTGCTGGAAGGCCTCCATCGCGGTATCCCTTTGATCTTAAGACGACAAAATTTTCCGTATTGACAATTCTGGGGTGTATCTTACCTGTCTCAGTAGACAGCCTGGTTCTGGTGCTTCTCTTCTGGAATATCAGACCAGCAGACTTGCCCACAAGGGGGGTATAAAGCTAGGGGAACAACAAGCTTACTGTTACTAAGTAGTCTATTCACAAACTTTATTTCAACTAGCCTGTGTGTTTCTTTTCACAGTGGTTTTAATTTGCTCATTGGAAGAAAGATATAAGGGTTTCGCAGTGTTTGAATTTGAAGATCTCTTTTTATTTGAACATATTCTCGCTCTTGTAGAATTCTTGGTTCTCCCATGGCTCAGACCCGCAGAAATAAAGAAAAAAAATTGGGTGCAAAGCTCCAAATCTGGCATGGGTGTACTAAGGTGTACAAATAGGTTACAATCATGCACCCAGTATTTTGAGCTATGCTGCACTCCTGTTGCCTTGAGTACATAAACCAGCATATCACGTTGGCAGAACGTACTGCACCTGCACAAAACCCTAATTTTTCACAGTTTTCGTTTGATCAATTGATGTTTGGTCAACATTGCACCAGAATTTTGCCTGTTGCAGACGACTTCTTTTCCGACACAAAATTTGGAAACTACAAACGAGATGTTAACCTTACACACGTGAATATGACCCTATTTTTTATATGAGATATTCTGCAGAAGTGCTATGCACAGTAAATTACAGTTTTTGCACAGGCACAGTACATTCTGCTGGCGTGCTCAACTGGCGCTACGTTACCTCTCCTGTTCCTTTGATCCTGGCCTTCAGGTCGGCTGCTGTCCACAGGAGCTGCTCAACCTCAGACGGCGAGAAATCTTTCAGCGTCAGGAAGTTCCGACCAACCATGGACGCATGGCCACTTTCATTAAAAAAAAATTGTGGTAGTTTGATTTATTGAAATTGCAACAGTACAATATATGTGGGACACAGGCAGCTGTTGCTGGTGTTGTGTCCCACAAGTAGAAACAAATACAGGACAGACAATACTCATTTTCACTTGAGTTAAGTGAGGAAAGTCGTGCAAAGTGCCTTTTCCAAGGGCACAAGATCCTGTTGTTGTAACAATTTTTAAAAGGTTTGTCAATGTAGGATTTTCATCTTAAAAAGGAGAATGTAACGTTATGATACTAGCACCTAAAATGTAGTCGTGTTACTAACACTAACATCGACTACAACCAAATGAACATTTAAATACATTTTACATGAGAACAAATAAAACATTTAGTAGTACCATATTCTACCTCCTTAAAAGTACCGAGGACATGATACAGTACACACAAAAAAGACATGTCTCAATCCATAGTTAGTATCAGGCACTCCCTCAGCAAAACTGAGGGTAATGCAATGTAAACCCGAATTAAGAGTCGCCACGGCTAGGCACAGCCCAACATGTGCGACAACAGCTTCGCCCACCAAATTAAAATACTTGTTAATAAATCATGCCTAAAACAATTCCTAGAAACATGTACACAAATGTAATATCATTTTAAGTTATTTATGTACTAAGGTTAACATAATGGTTACTCAAAGCACCATATAGAGGAGGGTGATTTAACATGGTTCAGCCCAACATGTGCGACAACAGCCCCGCCCACCAAATGACAGTAAATCATACCTAAAGCAGTTCCTAGAAACATGTAATACCATTTAAGTAATTCATTTAGGGTTAAGATAATAGTTACTTAAAGCACCATATAGGATCATATAGAGTAGGCCTGAAGGGTGATTTAACATACAGTCCAACGTGACCAACATGTGTGACAACAGCCCCGCCCACCAAATAAATTATACCTAAAGCCAGAAACGTGTGATATCATTTTAAGTAATTCATTTAGGGTTAAGATTACAGTTACTTAAATCACTATATAGTGTGGCGTGATGTTTCATATAATATTATAAACGTCCTGTAGATTGTCGACCGGCCTCGTCAAATCTAAAGCCAAAAGGATTTGACAGAAAATTCTTTCTGGATAGCACTTCAGTGTTGTTTGGATAACAGTTTGGGATTCCCGAAATCAGGAATGGCAAGATGACGACGTCAAACGTACCTCATGTGTCTTTCCCAACGCTTCTGGCCGAGAACTTGGGTCACAGGAATCACGGTTTGTCTGAAAATACCCGAAACGAGAGAATTTTGACGCGCAGCAAATCTAAGTAGCGCCATGATGCTAGCAACTGTGACCTTTGACACGTCGATCAGCTGTTCGTTTTCGTCAGAAGGGGGCGGAGCTTTCTCCAAGCAGATGTGGGTAGGGGAAATCGCATCATAAAAAAAATGGCATCATAAGGCCACAGTAAGTAATTTCCATGGATAACATCAGCACGCGTATTACTTTTTGCCTAATTCTTGAAAAAAAGAAATTTTTGTTGCCCTCTGACAGTGGTCAACATGCCGAAAATGGGCAAAGATTTCTGTTGCCATGCCGGAACGTGGATGGCAGATAAATATGAAGAGAGGAGACAAGACAAGGCTCTGATTTAATGTTTTGTCTTTTGCTTTGATGCAGTAAATGTATTTCATTCCTTTTATATGTGATCGGTTACTCAGTTACTCAAAAAGCAACTGGATATGAGTTTGGAAACGGTCAGACAAGGACAAACAAGACCCAAGCTCCTGTTCTGAAACAATAGGAGCTTTTGACTACTAGTATTTTGCATCATCCTTGTCTGGACTTGTCTAACTTTTGTTTTGGACTTCAGAAAAAATTGTCTTCACTTATTTGCATACCAATCAATAGTTCGTGCTTATAAATAACCTGAAATCCTGTCATATTTTCATTCTCCGACAAACCTAGCGAGGATGTCCACAGCCCGATTCACCCGCGCTATTGTCCGCCAGATTCCCGACTCCATTCGGGACCACTCGGAGGCCCACAAATATAATGCAAAACACGGCCTTCCACCAGTGGAGCCGATAGACCTGGAACAAGCACGCGAAGACCACGCGATTTACACACAGACCCTGCGGGACCTGGGACTGGACGTGACCGTGTTACCAGCAGATGAGTCTCTGCCAGACTGCCCGTTCGTGGAGGACACCTGTGTGATAGCCGGCAACAGGGCACTGCTGACTCGGCCGTTTTCAGAGACTAGAAGGGGAGAGGTAAGGCGTTATCTTATAATCTCCAAGCAGATCCCTTTCGGTGGGCAAAAAGACAGTTTCAAATTGGCCAGGCAGCATCCATTAGCCAGGGAAGGTCGCCGGCCACCGACGGGGGTAGCGACAAAAAAAACGGCCGTATAAAAGGCTAACGATCATTCCCCCATGCCCACAACCTCTGCTTGGAGAGTAGTTATCTTACGCTTTAATCCAGCCTCAGAGTCCTTATTTTCTGTGTCTCAAGATTCCGTAGCATTAGCCTGGGTGCCAGACCCATGGCACACTGGACGCAAAGTATCTCAGTGAGAGGTAAAAAAAGTCGTTATCTTTGATTTGATTTATTGAAATTGCAATACACACGGAACAGAGGCTGCTGTTGCTGGTGTTGTGTCCCGCACATAGAAACAAATACTGGACAGACAATACTCATTTTCACTTGAGTCTAGTGGGCAAAGTCGTGTAAAGTGCCTTTCGCAAGGGCAAAAGATCGGTGGCATGCCGGGACCTCTTGATATCTTACGCTTTAATCCAGCCTGGTATTCTTTATTTTCTGTGTCTAGATTCCGTAGCTTCCTCTAGTATATGCTTGTATTTGTAAAGGATACGGAAAAGGTACGGGGCGGGATATGAGTGTTTTCCTTCGGTAAACATAATAAGATAGAGGAGACCCGATCACTATATGACCATGAACTTGACATTACAATTAGTCCCCTTTGGTCATGATTATGTTTACCGATGGAAAACATATTGTTTTTACTCAGTTTCCTCTTCTTCTTCTACAGTGACCTATGGCCTGACCAATGACATGATTTGTTGACGTCTGTCACCATGGTGACTAGTGTTGGGTTACATAATGTTGCAATTTCATGGTCTGCTCTGCTCCTGTTACCATATACTCGTAGTACGTGTATGTGAATGTGTTTGAGTAAGAGTCAACAGAGCAGACCATGTCCGAAGGTAAACATTATGCATTTGCTTTGCAAATGTTACTTCTCTAATATTATTTATATTTCTTTCTCCTCTAAAGGTCGCCGCTGTGAAGGAAGCATTGATCAATCTTGGACTGGAGGTACATCAAGTCGATGATGACGTCATTCTGGAGGGCGGTGCCGTTCTTTTCACTGGTTCGTTGCTGATATTAAAATAATGTTTGTAGTTTGTAGTCACGGCCTCATCACAAAAAAATAAACTAGAGAAGTAACATTTGCAAAGCAAATGTAGAATGTTTACCTTCGGACATGGTCTGCCCTGGTAATTTTTACTCAAACACATTCACATACTAGTACATGTACTAGAAGTATATGGTATCAGGAGTACAGCAGATCATGAAATTGCAACATTATGTAACCCAACACCAGTCACCATGGTGGCAGACGTCAACAAATCATGCCAGTGTCCAGGTCAGACTTAGTGTTTGGAACAGAAGAGGAGGAAGAAACTGAGTAAAAACAACATGTTTTCCTTCGGTAAACATAATTAGTACGGTAACCATAACACCGCATTGTCAACCGCTTTATTTTGTATCCCATTTGTTGTGTTGGAAATTACAGTTTAAACTTGCTTCATAAACTTCATTGTCATTTAGGACACGAGTTCTTCGTCAGCGACTCGCCGGTGTGCGATGTCAAGCCTGGTGCCGAGTTCATGCGGAAGACGTTCCCGGAGTATCCGGTACACGTTATCCCCCTGGCCGAGCCCGAGTACCACCTGAAGGCGGTCGTCTGTATGGCAGCGCCGGGAGTCATGGCTGTGTGTAAGAACCGATGGGGCAAAATCGCGTGGCAGGTCTGCACAGGATCCATTTCATTTTCATTTGAAACTGTTCTTCAATTCTTTATTATCATACCAACATTGCAAACATTATAGTATTGCCTGAACTGCTGAATGACATTGGTATTTACAATCAATACATTAAAAACACATAACATTACATTGCATTATATGAATATATACATACTACTGATATGAAACTGTACATCCCAGGCATAGCAAGTTCTGATTATACAGTCTGATTGTAACAATGCAATACACGTAGGACAAATACAGCTGTCGCTGGTGTTGTGTCCCACACACAGAAACAAATGGAGAACAGGAAAATTCTTATTTGCACTCGAGCTAAGTGAAAAAAAGTCGTGTAAAGTGGCTTTTCCAACAGATAGTACCTAGCTAAGCCGCTCAGCCATCCCTGCCATACTTATTTATTCAAAACAATTCTGAACACATTTCAGGCTATCCAGGAAAAGTCTGAGTTCACTTATGAAGCCATTTGGACACCAAACCGTCGATTCATCGATGACCACACCTGCAACGTCATCTATTTCAACGGGAACCTCATCCACTGTACGAGGGAAGATGGGCCTAGGAGTGTGAAGGTTTGTTGAGTCAACATGCTCTTAGTTATATGAATGAATGAATGAATGAATGAATGAATGAATGAATGAATGAATGAATGAATGAATGAATGAATGAATGAATGAATGAATGAATGAATGAATGAATGAATGAATGAATGAATGAATGAATGAATGAATGAATGAATGAATGAATGAATGAATGAATGAACAGAAATCATATAAACATAAATCCCAAGTCCGAATCGAAAGGTCAGACTGGAAACATCAAATGAATTAAAGAACTTAACTTAATTCAAAGTTGTACATAACATAGATGTTTAATTGCAAAATCATGCCCGAAGGCTAAATATAACATAATCGGTACATTAGAGTCAAAAGTCAACAGTTCTATACCTGTAGCTCTTTGATCCAATACAAAGAAATCTATTTTAGCAAGCAAATGAATAAGTTTAGAATAACGGAGGTTTGTATACATGTATTTATATATTAAGGACACAGACTTACTGGGTATTTGATTTTCACCTATTGCAGATTTTTGCTTCGAAGTTACCCCAGCTGAACCGAGTGCAGGCGACTGTTGGTGAGCTGATGAACGTTGACTCTGGGCTGTCCTGCTGCTCCCTCATATTCTAACCATTAAAGTCATCCAATGCAGTTTAGGGCTTGGGACCCCGATTTTTCAAAGTCAATATTCTAGTTGTTTATCTACATACTGAGTTGAAGCCACACTATCCCAATGTATATGGACCCTCGTGGAGCAAAAATTCCCGAAATTCTGATGGAAAATGGTTCCTGGAAGGGCCCTTGGCTGATTTTGGGGGTACCTCCCAGAAAATAAAGGACTCATCTTGGGGCTTGTTTCTGCAGTTGTAAAAGCCCAAGGTATGAAATACTGACTCAAATGTGCTAATGTGAAGCAGTATGTGTCAATATCACAAAGATTGCCTTTATTAAGAAAATTTCAATTTTTGCTGCTACGAAATCACATTGGGTGACTTTAAAGTCATCCAATGCAATTTCAGGGCCAAAAAATTACGGTGAATTTAATGGTGATTTTACTACTGTTAATCTTTTTTTTCTTTCACTGACGTAACTCTGAATACGATGATGTCTTATATACATGTCTGCCAAATGTTAGGTGCAGTTTCAAATGTCAATTACTAGCGTCGGTATAATATCTCACACAGTGTAGGACGTATATTTGAAATTGTTTCAGTTACATGTCATTTGCTGCTCAGTTATTTCATGGAGTTAAAAGACACATGTTTTTATACCTCCATGGTTATTCCGAATAACTAGTAACTGAAGAAGTAAACAGCACTACTTTATTGGTATTGGCTTAGATGGATATACTTATAGATGGTATCTGGACACAATAGAGGTGCATTTTAAGTATCGATGCTTGTGTGATTAGGTATGGGTATATTCGACTTACATTTCATTACTTGTATTAAAACATTTTTTCGTCATTAAAGGTGGGACATATCATTTAAGTGGTGCTTGTCTTTGATCTCGGCTTGAATGGCATAGTTAACATAAACACCACATACAACAAGCATTCAACTGCAGCTGTTGTCAACAGTTTTTATTGTCTGCCTGGTTTTTACTCCTAAAAATCTACACATGACAATTTTTGCTGCTACGAAATCACATTGGACGTCAACCAATGCAATTTCAGGGCAAAAACTACGGTGAATGTAATGGTGACTTTAGTAACTGTTAATCTTTATCTTTCACTGGCATAACTCTGAATACGATTATGTATTATAAACATGTCTGCCAAATGTTAAAGCGTAGTTTTAAATATCAATTACTATCGTCGGTATAATATCTCACACAGTGTAGGACGTATATTTGAAATTGTTTCAGTTACATGTCACTTGCTGCTCAGTTATTTCATGGAGTTAAAAGACACATGTTTTTATACCTCCATGGTTATTCCGAATAACTAGTAACTGAATAAGTAAACAGAACTACTTAATTAGTATTGGCTTAGATGGATATAATAATGGTATCTGGATACAATAGAGGTGCATTGGAAGTATCGAAGCTTGTGTCATTAGGTATGGGTATATTTGACTTACATTTAATTACTTGTATTAAAACATTTTTTCGTCATTAAAGATGGGACATATCATTTAAACGTGGTGCTTGTCTTCAATCCTGTTAGTATCTTGGCTTGAATGATACAGTCTCTGGGCCGTTGATATATTGTGAAAATTAAGGACAGTGTCGCCCTAAGAGCCACGTTCGCTCTGCCCAGACGCCCATTTTTTTATTAACTTACAAAGAACTGGTGGCATCATGTAAATTTCCAAATTATGTGGCATTATTTGAACTTCCAAATTATTGCAATGTCAAAATACTTAATGTCAAAATGTTCAATAATATGATAATAAGAAAAATGCCTTTTCCACACACATGAGATATTTAGCAATATTCGAAAAGTGAAATCTTGGAAATTATCAATCGATTTTTGAAATTCATTGTGTTTGTACATTTTAGACTCAATCCAAACAGCGACGTTTGTAGCCGGCATATTAATTGCCATAAAGTTTCATTCATTCATTCATTGATTCAGCAAGTGTCTTTATTTAATGTAAGGAAGCATTTAGAGAGTTAAGACCATTGGTTGGTTGGTTGGTTGGTTGGTTGGTTGGTTGGTTGGTTGGTTGGTTGGTTGGTTGGTTGGTCGGTCGGTCGGTCGGTCGGTCGGTCGGTCGGTCGGTCGGTCGGTTGGTTGGTTGAACAAAATTGTCAATACATTAAATTTGCAATACCATACGTATTTTATTAACATGAACATTACATACAATGCATTAGCATTCAACTGCAGCTATTGGCAACAGTTTTTATTATTAACAGTTTTTATTATTAACAGTTTCTACTCGGATTTTAAAATCTGCATTTGACAGTTGTGGTATTTGAGTTGAGAAGATCACCAACTGATATAATGTATGCAAATTACATAAGGACATTATCTACATAACTAATGTACATGTACCTCTAGTTAGTATGTGTCAGTCATAAAAGTTAACGTCATTTCTCGAAAGGTATGAGGTCGTGGAACTCAAGTTTTTAAGATTCCAATCCGATGGAAATTGGCACGTAAGATGTCTACGGATTACTAAGTTGAGTCTTGTCTTGTCCAGTAGGACGACTAGCGTTTTGTGGCGGAACTGCAGGCGTACACGTCTTCTCCACGTTGATTGCGCGATGTCTGACGTCATATTTACTCCGACCAAGACAGAGCGCAAAGTTTTTGTTACAGTCGCACAGCTGTCTTCTGCACAGGGCAGTCTTCTTGTCTCCAAACTGCCTTTCACCTAGATAAAAGAGAAAACATCAGGGTGCGTTTGTTTAACATCATCATTGAATGAAGACCTTTATTGTACACACATATCCGCTGGGTTAAGTACAGGCCACAGTAAAAGGATGGTATACAGATAACGTTACATATATACATACATCGTCAAGTAACTACAATTAAGTAAATTAAGTTATTTTAATTGGTTTCTTCTCGTTTTTTAGTAATGGTGAAAAGGTAAGAACAGGTATGTTTCAATATAGAGGGTTTGTCTAAGCTCATTAGAAATATAGTTTGGGCAAAAGTTTGGACGAAAGGGTACAGCCTGGCCAAATTGATACTGTCTATGCAGCCACCGAAAGATCTGCTTGGAGATTAATTACTAGTAGTGTTATGCGATCTTGGTGGAGGGGCTGACGAGCACGGGGAGGTCCTTAAGGAACGCAAGAGGACTCAGGGTTCCCATGGCAAGAACCTCCAGACTGCAGAGTTTCTGCATCACACAATCAGACTCTATAACAGTCAAATGCTGAAACAGTTTTTATGTGTTGTACATACAGTAATTGTCGGGTATCTGTATGTTCTGTCCTACATTGTATTTCCATGTATATGTAAGGTCAGCACAATTCAACGGTCCATAATTTTTCATGTACTGCTGCTATGCTGACCACTGTTTTAAATAAGGAATAAAGAAAAAGAACTCACCGCATTGAATCTTGACCTTCTCTGCTTGCTTCGGTGCCTTGGAGACGCCCGGAGACACGTTTACCCACGTGGTGCTGAATACGGACATACATGAGTCGTACGTGTACCGGTACGTGGCGATATACGGAAAGGGGATGAGCCCGAGCAGATACGGCGGGCAGCGACGCATCTGGTCGTCAAAACACCTGTCGTGGTCTCGGCAGCATCTGAGAAGTTTTAAGACATAACGTAACGTTAGAGTTTTTCTTTTTAGCTTCTTATCTATAGAGAGACGCCGCGTGCCCGCGAAGCTGGTATGTCACGACACCTGTGCTTAGCCCAATGGAGCAAAAATGTACAATAAAAATGAACCATTTGTTAAAAGCTCCATTTGTTCTTACACCAACTGTTGTTGATGTCTGTCACCATGGTAACTGGTGTTGGGTTACATATTGTTGCAATTTTATAGTAGGAAGGATTTAGAGTCCAGTGTCACCATATATGTATGAGTGTGTTTGAGTAAGAACAAGGATATTATACAGAGCAGACCATATGTGAAGGTAAACATTATGAATTTGCTTTGCAAACGTTACCTTTCTAGTTAGTATTCATTACTGTTTTTCTGAATAAAAAAGTACTTACTGGTCTGTGGCGTCTATCGCCGCGTGTTTCATGTCGCCGCCCGGCCCGCAGAAGCAGCCGTAGTCGATGTAGTCTGACGGGAACCGCCCGGTGGCGCACATCATCATGTTACCGAGCTGGATGAGATTCCTTCTGCCGTGCTGGTGTGTTTCTGGGGGCAAAGGTATGGAAAATATCAATCTCCAATCCGATCATATGGTGGCATGGTGGCAAGGCAGTATCATATATCTTGTGCAATTTGTATATGAAATAGTTTAGTGTAATTCTGACGGGAACCGCCCGGTGGCGCACATCATCATGTTACCGAGCTGGATGAGGTTCCTTCTGCCGTGCTGATGTATTTCTGGGGATGATGTGCAAAAGTATGGAAAACATTAACATCCAATCAGATCATACAGTACAACCAGAACTAGCCTTTCTCTGCCATCCCATGCATGTTTCTGGGGATGATAGGCAAAGGTATTGAAAACATTAATCTCCAATCAGATCATATGGTGGCATGGTGGCAAGGCAGTATCATATATCTTGTGCGATTTGTATATGAAATAGTTTCATGTAATTCTGACGGGAACCGCCCGGTGGCGCACATCATCATGTTGCCGAGCTGGATGAGATTCCTTCTGCCGTGCCGGTGCGTTTCTGGGGATGATATGCAAAAGTATGGAAAACATTAATCTCCAATCAGATCATATGCTGGCAAGGCATGGGGTCGTGTGGCGCGTTCGGCTCAGGACCTATAGGTCCCGAGTTCGATCCCCACCCACGTCACCGATGTTGTGCCCTTGGGAAAAGGCACTTTACACGACTTTCCTCACTTCACTCAGGTGTAAATGAGTACCTAGCTTCGGTTAGAAGACGTCCCTCGGATAGGACGTTAACTGGAGGTCTCGTGTTTGGAGAGAGCCACACCCCACGCACCTTAAAGATCCCACCACACCTTACGAAAAAGAGTAGGAACATGCCCCGGTGTGCGATGGTACAAATTCTACAAAAAGCCCTGGAATTCTCAATTTTATGCTAGCCTGAGTGTCAGCCTTGTTACTAGTTAGCTTTCGTCCGCTCCCCAAGATCCGCTCCGGAAGATCCGTTGGCGGGGAGCGGATCTTGGGAAGCGGACGAAAGCTAACAAGGCTGACACTCACTTTAGGCTCCAGCGGATACAAGGAATGCAAAGGAAGACACGGTGTGAATCTGCTCAGTATGCTAAAGGGAGGCCAGACATTAGCTATAGTATACACAGCTTCATACACACACATACGGATATACGTGTACCTAAGCACACACACTCACAAACAACAGACACGCACGTACAGTTACAAAAACACATTTTCATTTTCTATGCCGAGTCATGAGCCATTGATTGCTTGTGTCACGCTGGGTGATTTGGGACCAATTAACTTTTTTGCTACACAAACAGTACTGCGTACAAAACAACAAACGTGACTTTTGAGGCTAAAGTTTATGACCATGCATGCAATCTATGTTGAAGAGAAAATACAGTGTAGTTAAATCTACACATTTCGTGTGGTTGCATAACAGATGTTGGCTTCAGGGGTGCCAAAGAATTTATCAGAATTTTACGGAATTCATACGATCCTTACTAGGAAGCATACGAAGTTTACGGAATACATAAGATCCTTACTAGAAACATACGAAGTTTACGGAATATTATATATAGGATCCTTACTAGGAAACATACGAAGTTTTCGGAATACATAGGATCCATGACGCGGAATACATACGATCCTTACTAATTTGGTGACTTGCACCACGATTACGTGACATCGGCAGCAAATGCAAGATGGCGGAATATAATAGCGATGTTCTTCCTACAATATCTTGGTTTCAAAGACTTTTAAGGGCTTGTCCTGCCCTGCTAAATCCCAAACAGCACTTATGCGGACCTCTTTCATGACATAGTAGCCTGTATTTTAGATCAAATAGCAGGGCGATGCTGGGAAACGGTGGAACCGGTGATCACTGAGACAAGTCACCAAATGACCCCAAATTATAATTAGTAATGATCGTATGTTTCCGCGTAATGGATAGCATGTATTCCGTAAACTTCGTATGTTTCTAGTAACGATCGTATGAATTCCGTAAAATTCTGATTAATTCTTTGGCAACCCTGGGATTACGCAGTCTAATTCAGAGAGCTATAATAAATTAATTGCCGATAGAATTCAGGTACATGCATGTATTTATAATTAGAACCCAAAGAGGTCATAACCTCTCTGTATAACCCCATGACAGTTTAAAACGACCGCATAACCAGTAAACATTTAGATGTAACGGTTGTGTATAATGTACAAACTGCGTAAGACAGGACCGTGAGGTTTGAATCACTCACACTGGGATGGACCACTACTCTTTTCTACAAGTGTGGTAGGATCAAGTCATAACCTCACTGGAAAATCCATGGCAGTTTAAAACGACCGCATTACCAGTAAACATATGAGCGTAACGCAACAGTTTTGCACATACAGTAAGTACAATCTGCGTAAGACAGGGCTGTAAGGTGTGATCCACTCACACTGGGATGGACCCCTACACTTTTCGATAAGTGTGGAAGGGTCGAGTCGTGGCTGTCCTAAAATTTCCTCAAACAGGAGACCCCGGCTGTACTAACTAGTATGTCCCATCTTTGAGGACGTCCCTAATCAAAACTTGGTGCTCATTTTCACCCGAGTGGAGTGAGGAAATAGGTAATAAGTGCAGTCTCCAAATGACACAACACTGCGTTCGACCTGCTTGGGATTCGAGCCCCAAACAATTTGGATCCAACAACGCTAACCCTACCCACAATACCACTTTGCCACCTGTTAGTGTTACGAAAATGAAGACACTGGTCCTTACCTCCTGCGCAAATCGCGACGCACACAAGCAGAAACATCAATAAAACACGTAGACTGTTTCTCAGAGAGGGAACTTGAACACTAAAACGCGCCATTCTCACCAGCAAGCTCATGACGATGTGAGGAAGGGACGGAAACGAGAAAAAAACTCTACGTGTCTTTACCTAAATATGGCAACCTTGTCAAACCGGTTGTACCAGAATGTGTGTTGCCGAAACAAGAAACATCATTAGTATGTAAATAGGACATGGTGTCTGTGGTACATGTAACGCACCGGATTGTTCTTCAGAAAGGTTTGCAACTGTCTGAAGTTTTGTAACGATGTAATACAAAATGGATTTAGCCATGACAAATAAAAACTAATCTACATTCAACCACCATTTCCACCGATTATTCACAATCTTCAGCACACACACACCACACACACGCGCACGCACGCACACACACACACATATACAGCACACACACACACACATAATGGCGTTACTCATATACACACAAACACACACACACACACACACACACACATGAACACACACAAACACGCACACAAACATGCACACACACACACACACACACACACACACACACACACATACACACACACATTAGCACTCACGCACGCACGTACGTACGCACACACACACACACACATAAACACACACAAACATGCACACACAACACGCGCACACACACATACGAACACACACAACACGCGCACACACACAAACATGCACACTCAACACGCGCACACACACACGCACACACACACACACAACAGCCCTCACGCACGCACATTTAAATCAGTTACAAAGTTCTGGACTTGTTCTTGGGTTTTATCCAACTTTATCCCTCTGTAACCTCAACCAACCTTCCCATCCAACTAAGGCCATCCACACAGACGTCATTGCTCCAACCCTTCGTCTTAATAATTGGGCCATTTGGGACTAGTTTGTCTGAATGACGCAAATCACCATGTCCTGGACAGCAGATGGGGCCACCTTCTCTTCATTGTAACTTGAACGGTCTGTAATCTGATTTCCGTTGTGCGGACGCCAGCCTATTGTATTGGGAAAACGGAAAAGGCTATTTATGCACCGTGACGAGTTTTAACTATTTTCGGGAGACTTTTTGTTGTTGTTTTTGTTATTAAAATGGCCTATTTATACCGAAACAGGTTACTCACTTTGTTCAGAGCTCGAAATCCCACCTGCATGTGCATGCAGATCAGTACAGGTAGAATTGTAGCTTTGAAAATATCCCGACATCTACCCGTACCTAAGCTGCACTGATCCATGTACTGGGTATATGCGGATTAGTGCAGGTAAAATTGGAGCTGTGCAGGTATTTCTGAAGTCTGAATAGATTTGGTAACCAGGCTACCGCTAGCGTGTGTGTCTGCGTATCCACATGATAATTCGACGAGCTTGACTAGCGTATATAGATTATCTTGATATTTGATACTAGTATGTGGGTACTACAGTGGAGCAGCGTTTTGATATCTCGTGTTCTGGATACGCTATGGTCACGATTTTCATGTGGTAGATAGTGTTAGATCTTGTGATCGAAAAGAAGTGGCAGAAGTTTGGTTCCCCTAGCAACTTGTTCTAGAACTGCAGGTGCGTTTTCGTTAAAATCTTTGAGAGTTGACAAATTAAGCAGGGGTTGACGGATCGTCAAGATGTTTGGTATGTAGGTAGCTTAAGTAATACTTGACATGATCAGATGACAATTACGTAAATCAGGATCTAATATGCATATACATAATCAAGTTTGAGGCATTCTAGAAAATACTAGAATGCTGCTTTCCATGATCGGTAAAAGTATGAGTTCGTCGAACTTTATATTCCAACATCTAATCACAAGACGTGGTGAAGGCACACTCAAGTTTTTTTCAACTTATGTTAATGCCGCCACCAACACAGGGGAAAATACTCATTTTCACCTGCGCGACGAGGTCGGTGGCGTGTCATGATCAGGACTCGAACCCGGGACCGCTTGGTTCCGAGTTGAGCACTCTGTCGCTACGCCACACGACCGTGTGAGTTCGTCGAACTCTAGTTTAGAAATACACGTGTCCCGAAGGGGACACTCCAGGTACAATACACACACTTGAAGATGAAATGGTTTGAAACTAACACCGAGACAGCACGGCGCACGAGGAGAGACACGACCCGGCTCTAATGGCCAATTATGGCCCACAGATCCGGCCACGTGTCGCACGCGCAACTCCGAGATACAATAAAAGAAACATCAAACTTTCTTCTTGCACGTTGGTACTTTTTATTATATTCTAGCATCTTATCACAAGACGTGGTGACGGCACACTCAAGTTTTTTCAACTTGCCGCTATGCCGCTACCAACAGCTTAGGGGACAACGCAAAACTCATTTTCACCTGGGTAAAGTGAGGAAAGTCGTGTAAAGTGCAAGGGCACAGGATCGGTGGCATGTCAGGACTCAAATCCGGGACCTCCTGGTTCCGAGTCGAGCACTCTTCCGCTACGCCACACGACCCCACACGTGTGACCCCTACAGCTGCTTTCATGGCCATTGTTCCGGTGAACTGAGTGTTCCAGCGTGCTTCTCGTTTCTCTTCTACCAGCTCACATCATTAAAGTCACAGAATTCCAGCCTCTAACGTCTTACATAAGAACAGCTTCTTGTAACCATTGAGGTTCAACGTCTTCTTCTCAAGTGTTTACCTGCCAAATACAATCGACAAGCCTTCGAAAGCAAAATTCACAACCATCTTCCACCATAGTTCGCAGTTCAATTCCCATATGTGATCTTTTTGACTTACATAGAGCAAAATCCTTGAATTCCTTTACTTAGCTTGTGGCAGACAAACTTTGTAGCAGAAACTTTTTAACAATACTTTTGGAGGATTGGTCTATTCTCTATATAGTATATTGCCATCACTTTCTCTAATGACCAATTATGGTCCACAAATCCAGCCACGTGCACATCACCAAGAAAAAAGATCACATTACTTCTTGAAATATTGACATAGCCTTCGGATCGTCAATTAGGAAAACTTGCAATCAGCGGGCTTATGTCCAAATGATTCTTATATTACTTCTCCGAAAGAAAGGTGAAAGTCCTTATTGATGACCTGTGTACTCCCACCGTATTCAAGCAGCGCCTCGGTACCACTATTTCATATATATCCTAAAATGATAGCTTTTAGACCGTAATCAAAGAAGAATTTGTGTGGTCAGTGGCTATCCTATGACGTGAAACCTGTACTCTCTTTCTCATGGATGAAATTTTGTCTCTTTGTGTCTGTCCTACATTAACTTTTATGGCCATTGTTGCAATGAACTCCCACTCAGCTTCCTGTTCCGCAATTGAGAGCTTTTCAGTGTGCCACGAGGTTCTCAAAATACCAGGTTCTCAAAGTCCTCCTACGTATACAGCCACAGCTTCTTGCCACCATTAAGGTTTGACCTCCTTGTTTCCGGCGACGACTGCCAAATTGTCGAACTCTCTCCCTGACAAGTGCTGCACCCACGCCAAATGCAAGCCACAAGTCTTCAAAAGTCAGAACCAACGTTCACCGCCATTTTCTAGCATCGTCATCTATACCCATCTAGTTCCCAGATGTAGTCTTTTGGCCTTCCATCGAGCAAAATCATTGAATTTCTTTTTCTTTTTCAACGGGTGTGACATAAGCTTAGTAGCAGAAACTTTTTTCTATACTTTCTAGATGATCGGTCTCTCCGGGAGTATATTGTTATCACTGACAAAGGAGCCCTGTCTCAAGTGGGCAATTAGAGTCTGCTACATCCATAGTGACAAAAGGCACGCGTCCCCTTATCTACACAAAGGGAATCAGGCGAAAAGGGCTCAACGTTCCATTATCTGGTTCCAAGGACTCATTGAAAGCGACACGTGGGCGGTTGCCGTAAATGTTTGCCGTCATCGGGGACTTTTTTTCACCTCTCCCTTTAGAACGGTCCTCTTTATAAAGGCCCCAGCACCGCGACCGGGTAGGCTCCAGACGGCGGCTCCCAACGACAGACGCACCCACCGATCTGCTGTACCTGCCTTCCATCTGCTAACATTGCCAGAATCCTGCTTCTAAACGTAAGTGACGCCGTCCATGGTGCTGAATATTCTGTGGTTGTTGTTCGTACGTGTTTCTCATGTTTTGTCATCACCCTGATTGTAATAGTATTATAGGTTTACTAATGTTTTGGCTATTCAAATGTTATGATTCATTTTGTTGTTAGTAGCTGGTCATACAAGAGCGCCTGCATTTGTATTGTCAATAAAGATTCTTCGGTGAATAATGTCACCAGCTTGACGAATGATTGAATCGCAAAGGTCTTTCTTCACAACCACTTGTTGAACAAGAACAGGCGTTTCGATGACCGTCTGTCATTTTCATGAATGTGCGCTCAGTGAACCAGTCATAATTGCTCTGATAAAGATGACAGACGGTCATCGAAACGTCGGCTTTTGTTAGAGAAGTGGTGGTGAATATAGACCTTTGCTATTCATTCTCACCTCACCTCAACGGTCCCAATCATTCTGCTATTCATTTATTCTTCTACATTTTCTTTGCTTACTGTGGCACAGTTAAAATGGCATGCAAACCCGATGCTGTCCATTTCACGGCACGTTTGAATCTCTTGCAGTGTATCTGTCATAAGTGTAATTATCGTAAATGTACTTCATTAGCATTAGCAAGCAAAGGGCTTTGTACGATGACACTTTTAAGACACTTAAATTTCTGTCACGTTCCCAGAAGTGTACTTTTTTGGTCACGAAGAGGATTTAGAGATGAGCATGCTGACCCAAATTGGCGTGCAACATTTCCACTCAACTTTCCACTCAATTAATTAAAGGATGTCAGACTAAAGCAGGAGACTTCTAACTCACAATGCAGAACTTGTATCTGTATCTGTATGGCCGGTATAACCGCCTTTCGGCGTAACACAGCAGCTTCGCAGGCACGCGGCACGGCGGCAGCTGGCTACATTACACCGATCGACTTGTTATACCTAACCCTTGAACATCTAACTCTAGACATTGCTATCTAATGGCATTGTTTCTACTGTACTTGGTGAGAGTGAGTTCCACTCTGCGATAGTTCTAGGAAAGAATGAATTCTTGAACACCTCAATCCTTGGTTGATAACTCTGGTACTTAAAGGCACGGCTATTTCTTGTTCTCATCTAGGCTGGTATTTGACTGAAATAAAAGAACAGAGAGACGGAACAGAATACGATTTCATGTAATCGTTAGCCTATCATGTTTCATCCATGATAGAAATCAGCAATTTTCAGCCTGCTCAAAAACTGCTACAGACGAGTGGCAAAATACTACAGACGACTGCCAAAATGCCACAGACGACTGACAAAGCAATCCACTGTGTCGTTTTCTGTATTTCTCTTTGATAGAACATCAATGTATATCTATGGTACAACAATAACGCAAATTGATGTTCCTTTTAGTAGAATACTTGCGGATCATTGATAGAAAACCAAGATTTGATCATATGCAGTATTATGCACAAAACGATTTCCTAACAATAATAAAGTCGCTGCATACTACCCCCCCGCCCGAGACCATACACTTGTTATACCTGGAAAACGCGATGCTGTATTTTAACGAGGTTGAAATTAACACGATATTCTGACAACAAAGAAGCGTCGTGTTACAAAAACAAGGGTCGGATAAAAGACTGTCCTAGATACATAAAATACAATCAAGTTGGCCAGCCAGATGTTATTATAATATTTTACTTTTATAACAGCTCACGCATTCAATGGTAATTGTATAATCGGAATAACTATGATTTACGTCAACGTTCCTTTGGAAACCCGGTTAGGAAATTGTCTCAATGAGTATATATAACACTCAACACACAACCCTGTTGCAGATAAACGGTATCCTTTGGCCTTTTTATATATTGCCATGCGGCTAGCATCGTTCACGACACATTAACTCAATCTTTGAGACCTAAAAAATTATTACTATTAACTAAATCATGTCAGACACAGGTGGAACAGTGGTCGTTGCTGGTGGATTTACCAATTACGTGTAATCAAAGGCAATCTTCCATGTGCTGGTTCTGTAACCAAGTCTACAGGTCAGGTACTTAGTGTGCCCTAACCGACCCTCGCACTTCTGTTCCAGCGTCCGATACACCTGCGCTCTTCGGCACGCTGGTAAGGATGTACTGTGCCTGTTTTTAAGTCCTCCGTGAACCTATTTTCGACAACTCCCATCCAAATTTGAAGATAAAAGGGTACTCCAAACTCGAGATAGTGGGGTCGTGTGGCGTAGCGGCAGAGTGCTCGACTCGGAATCAAAAGGTCCCGGGTTCGAGTCCTGACATGCCACCGATCGTGTGCCCTTGGGAAAGGCACTTTACACGACTCTCCCCACTACGCTCAGGCAAGGTGAAAATGAGTACTGCATTGTCCCCTGTGTACCACAAATATATACAGAAGAGCGGGTAAGGTTAACCATTCAGTAGTTCAACAAGGAACGGTATCCTGCTGTTTCTAAACCTGCTGATGTTCTGCACTTAAACTGAGAGATTTTGTTTCTAGGCCTCAGCGCTCTACCATGCATATCCTCACATCTGAGAGGGGGTCTGCCTATTTACCTTAAGCCAAAATACATCGACTTGGCGTGTTATCTCATCCATGCAGGGTGTATTGCGGTAGATTTAAGCCTCCTATGTGTGTATTCCGGTAAATAGGCAGACCGTTTGGGAGGTAGCCAGATAGCGTAAGTGGTTGAATTTGCAAATTCCTGCCCGAAGGCATTTTATGTAGCAATAACTTATCAATACGTAAACTAACACACTCTTTCACCAATCGGCTCCTCAACAGTAATAACAGAATCATAAAACTCGCAACCCATTCAGACATATCATCCACCAGTCACTACTGGGATCACTATATCGGCCTAGTCTACCGGTAAGGCCCTTCTCGTTTGTATATGTACCGAACCCTACCGTTTTTACTATGTGTGCACCTTGTTATTTTAATTGTTTGTCTACTATGGGCCAATTGCGCCTGAAATAAAGTATAATATAAATATTCCGACTTGTAGGACGATGAAGGGTCCAGACGCCTGCATGCTCCTGCTCCTCGCCTTGGCCTGGGCTGCGCTGAACACGGTGGCCGGGGACTGTGGCGAAGACGGCTGCCTAGGGAACCAGCTCCAGCCCGCCGGCGGCCCTCATCCGCCCACCGCGACGTTCGACTGGCTCCCGGCCGGCAGCGAGGAGGAGGAGATCCAGACGCGCGCTGTCCGCTACATCCCGCCCGGGTACAAGGAGCGGTTCCTGCTGAAGTCGCTGCTCCGGCAGATGGGGGTCGCCATGCGCCTGCCGCCCATGCGTAAACAGAACTGAAGACACGGCGCGGCTACCGGTACCTGCCAGTCGCGTCCGTGGTAGGGCGTCGTACGATTTTCAACTTGATGTTGTAGTATTTAAGTCATAGTCAAAGTTTATTGCACAACGATTGTCACGGGTACAATGCATGGCGCAAATAATAAAGTTACTAGTTGGTATGAATCTATTATAATGCTACATATATGGTCAACGTATACTGTGTCTGACAGAGTGTTATAAAGAAGTACTGGCTAGAAAATATTTCGACTCTACACGTACGTTCAACTATACTTATGAAGGGTACAGTGGGCAGTTACAAAACATTTTCTATGACTACTAAAGGTGTCTTAAAGCAGGCCGTTTGATAGAATCGACCATCAAAAATGATCCATGCCTTTTCGTCAGAAGTAGTAGATGTAGTGTACGACTACATGCACGACTTAATCCCAAGAAAGCCCTCGGGTTGTGATTATGCGTCGATCGTAAGGTTTCCAGCAAACTGTGAGACGGAATTAACAAAAGACAGCCTTTTCTGTAGTAGTGTAAAATCCATGTACGACTAAAAAAAACCCTCAGGTTGATCGTGCGATGATTGTACGACGTTCGTACGACGGATGTGACCGGGCACTTAAAGCATTGCTGTCTTACTTAGATGTGTCTGTAGCAACCACTTTGCTGTTTCATGATTGTTTCTTACACTGGTAGCCATCTTTGACTCTGAAGGACTACCAAGGTTCGCACGTATAAACTTGCTTTTCTGACAACTCTCCAGTGTCAATGAGGAAAGGTAGTGGATGGTACCTGAAACGTCTGACCGTTTCCAAAATCATGTCCAGTTGCTTGAGTAACTGCTTTTGGCTTATTTTACTACCTGGATGTCTAACCTTCACCAACGACTACAAAGGTTGTTTCTTTTATGTACGTGAAGATCATTACGACATAAAGTGTACAGTTATGTTTTTTGTTTGTCTGTGAGGCCGATCGGCCAGAAAGACGCAACGCAATGCAGGAATAAAATGATACAAAAAACTTTTGAATGATTTTGTCTGTGATCAACTGGTTTGTATCTCACTAGTTTCGATTATATATGCCAGATACAGTCATGTGTGCACACATACAAGAACATAGACATCAGCATCTTTAATAGTTCCCTGATTTTAATATAGAAACATAAAATATTTGGCACATTTGCTTCCTGATGATATTGATATAGAAATAAATAATCTTTAGTTAAACTGTTTCTTAAAAGTAGCATGATAATTTCATTATGATTCAAATACATGTTCATTTTGAAAAGAATCATTGTTCTTATGATTAAAATCCAATAGCTAGTCCATCTGCTCTTGGGTCAGAACCTGCCCAAAATACCCGCTTGTCATTGGCTGCACGTTCATCTCCTTCAGCCAACCAGAAGGCTCCTTTTGTGATGACTTGGCCCCGTCCAAATAGGGCCCTTCCGTGGCCTGTGATTGGACCAACCACATCATGACCTTTGGCCTTCAGTTGATCCCTTACATTTGGATGAATTCCCTCTTCTAAAGATACTGACCCCACGGCACCTATTAATGAGAAAACAGAAATAAGGAAATGATGATAAAAAGATATCATTTGAATATATTTTTGGTTATTGCAATATTCAATATGTAATTATCCAGGTGAAACAACTTCAACCTAATTCAATTAAAAAAATTTACCAGTTACAAATGTACATGATGTAGTTGTAATGTTACATTGAGTGTTTGAGGAGAGCCATGTTTAAGCACCGTAATATAGACTGTCTAGTACATGAGTTTTTGTGGAACTGCCGCAAGGGTTCTTTGCAGCTGCCATTCGGCGCCACAAGGTGACCTCAATACGGCTTGCCCCAACCGAAGTTAGGTACCCATTCACAACTGGGTGGAGTGAGGAAAGTCGTGTAAAGTGCCTTTCCCAAGGACACAACGTCGGGCGCATGTCCAGACATGTCCCAGGTACGACTCGGGATTGAACCCGGGTCTCCCGGTTCGCAGTCGAATGATCTACCGACACGAAACATGAGCATGCTTTTGTCCTACATACCTGCATGTCCAGGACCCACACACAGCCTCGGCTGGTCCAGGGCTCGCTGGGGGTCCATACCAAACTCTAACATGTTCAGGAGGACCTGCAAATTCAGAGGGTAAAAAATAAAACATTTGTATACTTGTTTACATGAGTTTACCATGAGTGCAAGTATACAAGTGCATATAATTGACACCTTTACAACATCAAGGGGTTTTCAATCTTCAGAATTATCAGCAAATCTTGCCAACAATGTAAATCACAGTGAAGACATCCCTGCACAGAAGTCATGCTAGCACAGAACACCCAGAGGGATGAAACACTGTCAAGAAAGTCCTATCGAGCAAACCCTAGCTAAAAAAAGCATGTGGAAATGCCCACTGTTACATTGTGTCCAGATGGAGGAACCACTTGGAGCCCCCAAGTGTAATGAGGTACGGAAGTGAGTGAGTAAGTTCAGATCGAGACTGCAGTTGTATCCTTCATTGTAATTGAGAACACTTGGCAGCTGTGAGCCATTGATTGCCCACTACATTGTTTCTTACATGTATGTACAATCATGTTTGTACATGTGTATTGCTCACCATAGCATATTGTAGCCTCCAGAGCATGCCCAAAACACACAGGGGGTTTTGGGGGTCTTCATGGTCTTGGGAGCTTTTATGTGCTATTTTCTGATTGCATATAGACAACATAGCCGGCCTGGTTGAATTACCCCCAGTGGCTAAACAGAAAACAGCCGAAGACCACCAAACCCCCAGTTCTATAAGCCTGCTACGGAGGCTAAGCATATTGTATGAAAAAAAATAACTGCACTACTTCCTGAAGGTTCCCCTACATAGCATGTCGGCAGAACGTACTGCACCTGCGCGAAACCCGTAATGTATTGTACATAGCACTTTGGCAGAATGTCTCATATAAGGTTGTATTCGCTCATATAAGGTTAGCATTTCGACAGTAGTTTCCAAATGTTGTGTCAGAAAGAATATCCTCTGCAACAGGCAAAATTCTGATGCAACGTTGACCAAAAACCCAACGAAAAACGCAAAAATACGGGGTTCTGCGCAGGCCCAGTACGTTCTGCCGACGTGCTCTACCTGGACGTGTGCTTGGGGCTGCATGAATCCCCCCATGATTCCAAACGACATAAGAAGCTCGTCTGTCCTGCTGTCTGTCACCATGGCAGGGATGATGGTGTGGTACGGTCTCTTACCCGGGGCAATGACATTGGGGTGGTCTGGCTGGAGGGAGAAGTTAGCACCTCGATTCTGCAACAAGGAAATTGGAAGATTACTAAAGGGAGGGCCTGCATGGGGGGGTCCTAACAACGCTCTATGATAAATCAGGAAGCCTCTCGATTATGCTTTATGATAAACTCCAATGCATTATGTGGAATTAAAATGGCGAATACGCTCTACGCAAAATGCGCCAATTACGCTATACGTTGAATTAGAGCAGTCCGTCTACGCTCTATGTAGAATTAAAGCAGCCGATTACACTCTACGGAAAAGGGCATGCGGGCCCCCCCTAAAGAGAGAAGTTAGCATCTCGATTCTGCAACTGGGAAATTCGAAAATTACAAAAGAGAGAAGTTAGCAACTCCATTCTGCAACTGGGAAATTGGAAAATTACAAAAGAGAGAAGTTAGCAACTCCATTCTGCAACAAGGAAATTGGAAAATTTCTAAAAAGTGAAGTTAGCATCTCGATTCTGCAACAAGGAAATTGGAAGATTACTAAGGAGAGAAGTTAGCATCTCAAGACTCCTACCTATAAAAGCATGAACTGCAGCCTTTATGTTGAGATGCTGACCACATCCAAACCCAACGAAAAATGTAGAGGAAAATGTAAAAAAAAAAATGCTAAGAACATACCTGTAATGTGAAGCCACAAGCCTTGGGGACCAGGCCTGTCCCAAAGCCCATGTAGTTACTGTTGATGAAGGAACAAGCGTTCCCCTCCCCATCCACAACACTGAAGTACACAGTGTCATTTCCACAGGACATGTTTCCCTTTGGGGGTTCCTTCATAGCGCTGTTATGGTGGCAATAGGTAAAGGTAAGCTATCAGTTTGCAAATATATTAATGAGGGCTCAGAATTCACCTCTGAGTGATAGACCAATGCCAAAGCCCTGCCTATCTTCATCAAAATGCAGAAATGTGAACATAAAAACAATGCAAACATGTAGCAAATAGCCATTCTTTCATTGGTTGAATCACTAACTGCCATTCTCTCATTGGTTGAACTCCAAACTATGACGGACAGTCAGGAATGTACAGAGTGACTGGTTGAAAACTCTACAAGTAGGTGAGAACAATTCTTTTTGTGGAACAAAAGTTTCATCTTTAAACATCAAGTCATTTTACTATCATGAAAGTTCATCTTGGTGGTTACATGTTTAAAGTTAAAACTTTTGGTCCAACAAAAAAAGTTGTCTCACTTAGAGCTTTCGACCAGTCACTCTGGTCTTCCCCTTCATTGAACTGCGATGGGGGCCGACATCGTCTACCAGATACCTTTGACCAAGTGTTGACATCACACTTCAAAGAAGCCACGTGACAAGCTTCACTGGGTCAGTCTACTGAGGAAGACCAGAGTTACCTGGTCGAAAGCTCTAAGTGAGAGAACTTTTTGTGTTGGACCAAAAGTTTTAACTTTAAACATCAAGTCATTTTGTTTTTTACACTAAAAATCCAAACTGTAGCACCTGTCCATGTTGATCAGCTGTCTCCTTTGGGCAGCATACTCCTTGGACAGCAGCTGTTCCACAGGAACTTTGACCTTTGACATGTCGGCACAGTGCCAAAGGCTGTCCGCAAAACTGAGCCGGATAGCTTCGATCAGAACATGGAGGTAGTCTGTTGTGTTGTGTCCTAAATCTGCACCAACAATCAAAATTAACAGTAAAAATTTAATTTAAGAATTCAAATTAAGAATTTATCATTTCAGCATGTACAAATGCAATGGTAAAAATATAAGCATACCATCAATGATACCATCAAAACTTCACAATAGTCACACTGACATTGAAAATTTTTTGAAAAATGTTAAAAGTTACTTCAGTTACGTCAATGAAGGTTAGACATCCAGGTAATACAATACGCCAAAAAGCAGTTACTCAAGCAACTGGATATGATTTTGAAAACGTCAAACGTTTCAGCTAGTATCCACTAGCTATATATAGCTTTCGTCAGTTACTTCAGTTGTTTCCTAGTTGATGACAGATGTCTGATCCAGATCATTGACCTTATTTGTTTGCAATGGAAGAAGAAACAATTTATGTTTTCTTTCTGCAAAGGTAAACATAACTACACTGATAAGTACATAAAACATAAAGATGTGAACAAATACTTCACAGATATTAAGCCACTCTTGGATTAGTCAAACAGCTATGCGCCATTCTCTCATCTCTAATTGTGATTAGTCAGAATCGGGCTAATCATAAGAAGTCAATCAAAATACCTTTCATACTGAATCCCTCTATAATGTTAAGAATCATCAGTGCTGTTATCCCCTGGCCATTTGGTGGTATCTCCCAGACCCTCACCCCCCTGTAGTCCACGGAAATGGGATCAACCAAAGTGCTGGTGTGGGAGTCAAGGTCGTCCAAGGACAACAATCCTCCATGTTCAAGTACAACATCAGCGATGGCCTGGGCAACCCTGCCTCGGTAAAAACCTGACTTTCCTTTGCTGGCAAGTTCCTGGAAGGTAAAACATGTAAATCTTGAGATAGGGGTGAGTGAGTGAGTGAATGAGTGAGTGAGTGTGTGAGTGAGTGAGTGAATGAGTGAGTGTGTGTGTGAGTGAGTGTGAGTGAGTGAGTGAGTGTGAGTGAGTGAGTGAGTGAGTGAGTGAGTGAGTGAGTGAGTGAGTGAGTGAGTGAGTGAGTGAGGGGTGTTCAGGAGGCGATCAAGATCCGCCGTACCTTAAACATGGACAGGGGGCGTCACTACCTAAAGCCTGTATATGACTGTCTCTTGTCACATGATGATCACAACAATTCATGTGACAATAGAACTCCAAGACGAGATCTTACCGGGTTGAAGAGACAGGGTGGGTCTCAAAAGCTATTCGTCAAAAAGTAAATCTGATTTTCTGATGCCGTAAGGAAAGTATGCTGTTGATCCACTGTGTCTAAGGCAATTAGTATTGGAAGGTAGAGCCCTCTCCTTTAACCCTTTTACCTCCCCAAACAAAGTCAGGTTCCCATTTTACACCATGGGTGGAGTGAGAAAAATCATGTATAATAAGTGTATTTCCCTACTACCTGAAATGTCTGACCATTTCCAAAATCATATCCAGTTGCTTGAATAACTGCTTTATGGCATATATTATTACCTGGATGTCTAACCTTCATCAATGCCTTTCCCAACATGTAGCCAGGAATGCTAGGGACCTGCAACCTCTCATCTCATGCCTGCTCGCCAAGTCACTCAAAATAAACCACAAATAGATAAATCAAAAGATATAAAACTTACCCTAAATGTCTGAGCTAAGTGAGGGTTTCTCATGACTTCGCCAGCTCTGGGTGCCTTGCCCTGAATGAGCAGGTCGCCCCCATGCAGGTTGTCCTGGTACTGCAGCAAGGCCGCTCCCTTTGCCCAGTGGTATGCAGCAACGGGTGCTACGGGGAAACCCTCCTCTGCTAGCTGGATAGCTGGCTGTAGGATCTCCTGCATACTTACCTGAACAGACAAACATGAAATATGACATTTCAAACTTCTGGGAAGTAGGTTATGGTTAAGTTGCATAAATGGTTTACAACCTTTGGCGATCTCTAGTTATCCAACTCAACAAAGTTTAACCAAGGACATTATACACAGTCACAGTATAATACATAGTATAATGTCCTTGGTTTAACAAAGTGCTACTTGCATGAGGACACTTCTATGTCAATGTTGGAATTTAGGCGATTGTACAAAATTTCATTAGTCAGGTGTCAGATCATGGAGCTGGAAATGGTTGTTTAGCTCAAAAAATGTAGGTGTCTTGCAGGGGTCCACCCCCAAAAAAGGCTAAGGGTCTACAGTTTTTTCTAGGGTCGGTCGGGAAACAGTGAACATTTTCTTCCTAGGTCCTAGCAGGTGAAAGGTTAATAATCATATTGTAACAGTTATAATTCTGATTAACCTTCTTGCTGCCGAAGTGCTCTATTGTGTCCACCCAGCCCGCTGCCGCCCCCGGTACTGTGACGTTGTGTGCGTGAAAGGGGGGAGGGGGGCATTCCGCACTGTGGCCCTGACTATGCAGGAGGTCCAAGGACAGCCTTGCTGGTGCTCTGCCACTGTGATACAACAGAAAAAAATGGAACACATTACTTCTTTAGGGTTTTATAACATTAATCTAAAAGTGGCAAAATTGAATGTTAGTAAAAGTACAGTACACTGAGTAAGCTGATTACTTTGGCGTGTTTTTTTTAATCAGGCTTTCTTGTTATTTTGGGGCTGGCATAAAAAAAGATACCGGTGCAAAAATGAAAAGCCAAAAAAGCCATAAAAAAGCCAAAAATAAGCCAAAACCCAAACCTCTGCTTGGAGAGTATGTCCATATATTATAATCAAATCATATATTATAATCATATATATTATAATCAAATCAACATGGCCTTACTCATACACAGAGCACCTTACCTAGTCTCCACCAGACTTCTTTTGCGGACTGAATAAATCGTAGAAATCAGCCTAAAAAATTAAAGGGTATTAATTGGCCAGAGAAGGTAGCTGGCCAGAGAAGCTCCATTTTCTCGGCGGGCAACTGGAGCTTCTTTGGCCGGCTACCTTCTCTGGCCAATTAATACCCTTTTTAGGCTGATTTCTACACCTTACCTGCCATTTAAACCCTTGACAGTTTTAGAAGCAGCGTGGTAAAACAGACAGAAGCAGTCTCCGCCCAGCCCGGTACTGCATGGCTCCGTCACGTTTAGCGCCGCTGCCATGGCAACAGCCGCATCCGCCGCGTTTCCACCTCGCTTCAGGATGTCTGGAAATTAAAAAAAAGCCATTTCTACATTTACTAATACACAAAGTTTTGTCAAGCTGGAATCACGACTAGACGGATTTGACAGCAGAGCCCTCCGGAGGATTACCGGCATTCGCTGGCATGAACATGTCAGCAATAAGGAACCTGACTGGAAAACCTGCTGCATCGTGCCTTGCAGCTGCCCGACGGATCCGTTGGTATGGTCATGTTCTCCGCCTCCCTCCCTGGCCTTGCTGGACTTTGCCCCCGAACAGGCAGGATGGCGGCGGCCCAGGGGGGCCCCACGTACCAGATGGATGGACGCTGTCCGACGGGACCTGAGCAACATCAACATCATCCAGCTCCCCCAGACACAGCAGCTGGCTGAAGACAGAGGAAAGTGGCGGGCCCTGACAAAGCTAGTCAGCTCTACGCACCACGTGCAAGAGGATTGAGTGAGTGAGTGAGTGAAAGTTTTGTCATAATCGTCATAGTAATCAATCATCAATAAAGAGGTTCAAAACTATACAGGACTGGAGCTCTCATCACCAAGGCCCAGGTTCGATTCCCGGTGTGGGCACTATGCATATGATCTTTCTGATTTGGACTATTTACTATTATAATATTGTACTAGTATTTGTACTCTTTTTCTGGTTGTCCATCGTCTCCGATGATGTACTCTATAAATAGTATAATATTGCTCTCGAGTAAAATTGTACAGCAACAGCATATCTAGATGATCTTAAAACAGTGGACAGAAAAGGGGATCTTCTTGTCAAAAACTGTGGTACTGTCCGAGAAACCCAGTCGAGTCGTCAGATAATTTAAACGGCCCGTTACGATTTTACACCCCAACATCTGCTTGGAGAGTAAATGACCATAATTTTGAAAACTGCGGAACTGCCCTGCAAGTAAGCTTCTAAAAGTTCGCAATTAGTATAGCAAATAATTTCTTTTCCTAGGGCAAAGTTTTGTTTGTTTGACAAAGTTCAAATATGGTGCCTGAAAAGGGGCGTGTTTTCTCAGTAGATTTAAAACATCCTGACGTCGTCGAGTGAACTTTTTTTACTAACATACCTAGTCCTATTTGTGAGGCGAGTGGTTGGCTACTAGCGACGCTTCCATGTAAAGAAATAACGGGAGATCTTCGGGAAATAAAGTTGAATTCTCTGCCGCCGCCGCCGGTGTCCATGGGCGCAGCCATCTTGGATCAGCTGTTTCTTGGGTACGAAGTGCGCATGTGCATAGCAGACGACGTTGTTTTTTCTACCCGCGTTTTTTGGCGACGGCTCAGGGAGGAGCCTAATGGTACAGTATTGTGTGCAGATTGCAAGAATTCTAGGAACGGTACAGGCATTTTGTCCACAGGAATGGAATGTCCACAGGCATGTCTCTGACCCACATCTATGCCCACATTCCTGGAAACCCCTTGGGGAAGACCT